ACACGCATACCAGTGTGTCCTAGATAGAACGCACCATATGGAAACGGCAATGTATTTTCTCGCAAAGGATCGACGAGGCCATTGAAATTAGCGTTCAACGTACTAGTCCAATATCGTCCTAATTATCAGGAAAGCACAATAACGTACGTTGAACGCTAACTTCAAATACATATCAAAGGCCTCGTGGATCCTTCGCGAAAAAATACATTCATTCTGTTTCTCTATGGTGCGTTCTCCCTGGGACACACGGTATATACAGCTTAAAGCAACCAAGGTAAGTTTATATAAAGAAGTTAGTGGGAAATTATCAGCGTAAGATTTGTGAAGAGGGAAATCGAAGGTAGATTACCACAACAGCCTCTTGCTTATCCAAGACTAAACTTTAATTTAATAACAATATCATTCACCCTTACTAATTACTTAGGTAACAGAGAAAATATCGTATGGTTATTTTCATGTATACCTATGCTATGTTATTCAGTAACGTCGACCATTTTCAAAATAATACTATTTTTTTAAATATGGGGGATGGGGGAATTGGCAACAAGGCATATCTTTAGTCTTTGGTATGATAAATAACTTTTCGCAAACAAAGCATGTAACACGACACGATTTTGACTATTAGATTACGTTATACGTTGCCGTTCTTATACGCTGCTTTTAAGAAAACGTGACAACGTCGCTATGTGTAATACAAAAATAAACAAACCTGTTAAGATGACAATTGACAGTTTTCTAACCAATGATATTTTCTTGCTAATTATTTTAACAAATTAATGCTATTCGTAAAACTCAAAAATGGACAGAAACACAGATTGGAACGCACAAAATCGACAAACTGTCTTACAAGGCAAAGCCATATTAGAGAGAACAGGAGACAGTATAGCCAGGAGCGAACAAATTGCCATCGAAACAGAAACCATAGGAACAGAGGTACTATCGGAACTAGATGGTCAACGAGAAACACTTTTAAGGGCAAAGAACCGTCTTACAAGTGGAGATGAACAGTTGGCCAGTTCGCGGAGAATTTTACGACAAATAAGTAGAGGTGTTTTATATAATAAATTAATTCTTATTGTGATTATTATATTAGAAGTAGTTATTGCAGGTGCTATCACGTATGTGAGATTTATAAAGTAGTATTGTGTACATATTTTCGTTGCATGTAAATTTAACTAAATATTTAATATTTTTACAAAAAGGCTGTACAATTGAAATGATTACACTGTATAGTCTTCCATTATTAATATTATTAAAGTATTTTTGACTCTGACTACCCTCCCACAGTATATGTTGAGGTATACCGGGTGGTGCCTAGCGCGACGCAGCATAGGGATTTCAATGGTAATTTCTTTATAACCAATTACTAGCTCCCCTAATTATTTTAGAGCAAAATTCTAAATAAGTTTTTTAGAGAAAAAAATACTGAATCTGTTCATGCTATTACTCATAATTTTCCGTTTTTCAAAACCGTAGAAATCGACAAAATAAAAAGGTTCATTTTACAATAAATCAGATATGCCTTGGAATTACCTAAAAAAACAGCGATCACGTTTCATTATTTGCCTTTGACGTATATTAAATTTATACTTGTTTATAAATTAGTTAAAGAACTGCAAGAGCAATAACGTTCAAAATGTCCGTCAAAACCATCAGGAAAATGACAATACATTCAACGTTTTGGCTGCAGTAGCGGAAAATCCGAATATAAGTTTAGGAACAAATCTGCTTCAAATCAGTTTTTTTTCTTCGATTATGTAGGTACTCTGATTCTCTCTGATAAACAAACAGTATCTGATGCAGACGCAGCATACATTCTCTAAAAAAACATTACCCAATTGCCGCTTTTTCTTGCATCGGATAGTTGTAACAGAATTAAATATGAAAATCGTTCGATGTCAAACAACGATAACTTAGATGCGATGCGCTTGTAGTTTGTTAAAAGATTCCAAAGCATCACTGATTTATAAAAATGTAATTTTTTATTTTGTCGATCTTTATGGTTTTGAAAAATGAAAAATTATAACTAAAAGTATGAACAGATGCAGTATTTTTTTCTCTAATAAAAACTTATTTGGACTTTTGCTCTAAAATCATTAGGGGAGCTAGTAATTGACTATAAAGAAATTATACCATTGAAATCCCTATGCTGCGTTGCGCTTGGCACCACCCTGTATGTGCAAAATATGCAGTCATCGTAGCATCATTGAATTGTAGCATTTATTTTGCAAATCACACAATCGGTACTTGTCTTACTGTTACATGTGATCTTTCAGTAGTTGTACTGTATTAACCTCGGTATTAACTATGCAAGTGTGATTTGTAATATTAATAACTAATATCATAGTGTAAGAATAGAATAATATCAAAGACTATTCTCCAACAGTCTTTGCTAATATTCTCCATAGTCCATCACATTTATATAGGACAAAGTCGTATGAGATTTATTGTCTTATTCTTAATTAAATGCCTTACAAAGAAAGGAAGTGAAGCTATAACCATAATATAACATAATATAATCTGTACCTATTATACTATGCTATAACATTTGATATATATAACAATGTGATTTACTGGGAGGGGACCATATAAATCAAAAAAGCTTTCAAAGATTAAGAGAACTAAATAAACAAAATTCTCAAAGGTAAGTATATTAAACTTGAGTTTACAAGAATCCACCCACTTTTCTTAAAAAAAAAAAACTACTGTATAATCAGGCGCGGATTTAAAGGGAGCGCACGCCCCCTCCTAGACAATTCTTGACTTGATCATTTAATAAATGACGTTTTAGTGAAAATAATATCAAATTTAAACAGAAATATAATACCTATCGCAGACGATTTTAATTGATCATTTAACCTTAATAATAAATGAGTACGGATAATCCGTCATTAGCAGAACTTCTGGATGAAGTGCAGCTATACACTGTGTCCCAGATAAGGATGTCTATCCTGGGGATTTCGGAAACAATAGAAGATATGAAGATGGTCAAATTAGAGACATTAAATTTGCCGATTTCGTTTTTATTTTTTTCTGATGTTATTTTAACAGATACAAAAAAAACATTTTCTCATTGTCACTTATTGTTTTACAAGACACAGTTGAGACGTTTCATTTCGGAGAAATCATCAACTTTATTTTTTTGTATGGCCTATAAAAAAAGTAGAAGCTAAATTGAGTAGCATTTTTTATTACAAATAAAACGATGTACGAGTCGTAATACGACACACAAAAGTTGGAAACTGTTGGTTTCAACTAGATTTCCAGGATCGGTCAAGTTACAGTTAAAATCACCGCATATTATATTTACCTTAGATATTTACCGTGTCCGTGCTATCCACGCAGGTACAATAAAGACACAATCAATGAAAACATGTTGGAAAAATAGTGTTGACTGTAGGGACATTGAAATTGTACCATCCTGTACATAGAATATATGACATCATATGAATGTAATCTATCCCAATTCTAACCAAATTCAGTTTGACAGCAAAAATTGATATTTTTTAAATATTAGCTGCTTTTCGAACATAATAAACGGCCAAATCTAAGTATTTCTGGCAAACGGCAGATTTAGATTGCTCTTATACACAGTGGTACGATTTCTTGTTATGCCTATTAAATTTTGTATTGTTATGTAATTGTTTAATTTCAGGTTATAACTCTTCAGAATGGGAGGAGATCACCATCACCATGAAATAAAAGTACCAGATTATAAATCCTATCGCGTGGAAGACGCGCCCGAATTACTGAAGGTACGAGAAAAACTAGCCGCCCGAGGCCTAAGCGACCCTTGGCTACGCAACGAAGTGTGGAGATACGATCGACGATTATGGGGAACCGAAGGGCAACGGATTATGTTGACATTTTCGCGTGGATTCAAATATGGCTTTGCCGCATTTGTAGTTACTATATTAGGAACAAAGCTGTTAGGCTCCGGCAGTGATCATCATGACCACGGACATCATTAAATTTTTAATTATTTAGTAGTAGTGTAGCTTTTTAAAGGATTATAAATTTATTGTTGTGTTTTTGAATTTTTTTGCCAAAATATTGAAAAATATGATGTACAGAAGTCTGAATGTTGATGAGTTTGGTATATTCTATATTAATGTTCAGAAATGCATTCAAACAAAGCTTTGAAAAGCCCTCACACTTTTACATATTCTAGTCAAATCTGACTATAAAAATTCACCTTGTAACGGTCATAACATAACAATTTATACTCTCCCTTTAATATTCGCCCCTGAAAATTTGCTTGGCAATATGTTTGATACTCGGTTTCTTAATTTTTGATTTGTAAAATAGGAATACCAATTTTAGGGGATGATGTAATAACCTGCATTGAATTTTTTAATATTTAAATCAAAAATCCCACTAGCGAATTCGAAGCTGATGTGCCATGCAAGCTTCTTATTACTAGATAATTAGACGAGCCCTGAAATTGTAACAAAATTCTCCAGTCACAACATTCCTATATTTTAAAAACAAGAGGTTGAATATTGTAAGTTCACAGTGGACAAGATTAGCTATATCAAAACAATAATATTTTCAAGATTAAGTTGTAGATTTGATAATTCATACTAATTTTGATTGTTTTACGCAATGCTATTACTTTTATTTTTCGTGCTAAAAACTCACTTCAGTAAATTGCTGCAAATAAATTAACCAGAATATGGGTTTCCTCAGAGAACCCATTTTAGGTTAATTTGCTCTTTAAGAAAAAATATAGCATATTATGAAAAGCATCACAGGAAAAAATAAAAATTGCCTACATTTTAAAAGATTTAAACTTGGATGAAAATGGTCGAAGGATAACGGTGACTAGAATCGATAATAGTGTCGCCACTCGCCACTACTTTGTAAAGTTTTCAAACATTCGCTACCACGCTACCATTTAAAGTACCGGTGTAGTTAATAGATTTAACAGATGGCGCCACCAATAATCTAGACACTTGATGTTCCGTTGTGTATTGAATATGACATCGAGCAAAATGCTGACAAAGCATACTTACCTGGCGTAGGGGTTACCGTGATCAATAAGGCGGTTCCCCCAGGATGAGGCCCTTTCATTGCACTACGATCGGGCTGAAACCTGCGATTATCCCTAATGTGGATAACTCGGGCGCGTAATTTTTGGTAGTCGGGACTGCGTACGCGCTGTCCCGGTTTTATTCAAAATAAACAAAGTTCTCTGTGATAAACCCCGTTTGTGCATGTCTCTTCTCTGCTTGAGCGAAAACTGGTGACGGTAACTATTAGTAGTACATTATTTTCAGCGGTGGGGAATGACTTCATGGCGCGCCCGAGTTGTGAGGCGGGTAATAGACGGCAAGCCATGAAAAATCACTTCTCCAAATTAAATATGCTATTTTTTCTTCAAATGGTTTAAATTATTATAAAGCTGCCATGTTTTTGTGTTTTTGATACTCAGCTCTAGGTTTGATTTATGCATGTACCTACAAGAAATGTAGTAGGTGATAAATAAATGCGAGTAGTTTCGATTGTTAATAGGTATACAAAAAAAACGTTTTGACAGATATAAATTGTTCATCGTTGCCGTTGTGACCAGTTAGTTTTTGAAATGCAACCGATTTTGTCGACAGAACTTGAGGCTGCCGCTGCGACCAATCAGGCTGTCTTGGACCCACAAAATCTAGCGAGAAATATTGTGCCGCGTACGATCATTTTAAAAAGTGGTGCGACTCAAAGAACGTAAAATTTGAAGAAAATGTGTTTCTAGCACATTTCAACACAATGGCTAAAGAGAAAAAATGGAAATCATCGACCATGGTCGCGATATTCCATGATCAAGTCGCAGCTAATAATCAAAAACGGAATGGATGTTTAAAGTTACGCGCGTTCTTGAAAAAATCAAACGAAGGGTGTTATGCAAAAAAATCAAGAATTTTTTCGAAGGAGCCGTTTGAAACCTTTTTATTTGAAACGCAAGATGATTTGCATTTAGGATTAAAGGTAATACCTAAATTTAATTTTGTAGTTTGAATATTATGTAATTTTTTCAGATTGTTTTATTAATTGGAATAACTGGAGCCTGCAGATATGATGAAATGGTAAAAATGAAAACTACAGATATAGAGGACATGGGGAATGTTGTTTTGATTAAAATACCGGATAGGAAGACTAGAAAAGTTCGATCGTTCACAATAATTGGAGAAAATTACATCAAAATTGATCGAAAATACGCAGCGTTAAGACCAAAAGATATGCTAGAAACTCGATTTTTTTCTAAATACCAAAATGGAAAATGCTGCAGAAGTGTAATGGGAATACACACTATTAGCAGTGTTCCTGGAAAGGTTGCAACTCTCTTAAAATTAAGTAATTCAAAAGAATACACAGGTCATTCTTTAAGACGCACTTCGGCTACACTATTAATTGATGGAGGAGGTAATATTGAGTCGCTAAAACGGCACGGGGGCTGGAAATCAAGTAGTGTAGCAGAAGGCTACATAGAGGAGCCGTTGCGAAATAAAAATGATAACGCAAGTAAAATTGAAGGAAAGAAGTTATAATAACACCTAGTGCCAGCAAAACAAATGATATTGAACCATCAGCATCTCATGTGATTGCAGAAAATTAAACTTCGTCTGCGCAGACTTTTACAATACTGCATGGTTTTAATTTTCAAAAGGCAACATTGACAAATTGCACGTTTAATATTAGTTTGACAAATAAAAATGACGTTTAAATTCTTATTTTCGTTGTTGTGTGTTATTATTTTAGCGTTTTCATAGCAACACTTTTCCGGAAAAGTAAAACTGTCGCCGGCGGAAAAGTTGCATTTTTCCGCAGCCACTTCAGTCAAATTATAGCCTAATATTTTGACGTTTGAAGAAAAGACACTTAACACTGTGTGGCCTTTAAAGAGGCGGAAAAATTTTAAATATTCTTGTTAATAATACAAGCGTAATCCTTCCCGTATATTCGAATGATAATAATAGATGGACACCACACGGTATGAATTTCAACGTCAAAAATATCGAATTAATGATAATTGGGCAATTTGGCTAAAAACACTGCATCTCCTCCCATAGATATAAAACCAGCCTACGGACTGTAGGTAGTATAAAAAGTGCGGACCACTATCAAGCAGTCAGATATCAAATACTTGGTGAAAATATAGAGAAACTTTGAATAAAATCTAATACATTACATCATAGATTTGGTCTATGATGATTACATGAATGTAAAAAGTTCCCCCATCCAGAATTATCTTCGTTTATATTTATTTATTTGGGCCGATCCCGGAGGTACTGCAAGACCGGGCCAACCCGCGACGGAGGTGGAGCAAGCCCCTAACCTCCGTCAATTTCCAAAAATCAGTTTAATATACTGGACCCGCATGCGGGTCGTATCAGATATTAAGCTGATAAGAACAGATACTACACTTTGATCTTAGCCATAGGCCGAGAAGCGATAACGTGTGTGGTTTAACGTTTCGACTTTATTCTGCCGTGTCAGCAGTTAAACTAACAGAATTACTTGCAGCGCCCTCTCTTTAACAACACTACCATTCAATGTTGAAGAATTCAATAAAAAATTAAGTTTTATCACAGATTTAGTATATTTAAATCTGTGGTTTTATCGTTTAGTGAAGGATTAATTACTTCAATGGTTTTATTCAATGCAGTTGAGTAGTTCATTTGCATTTCGCCAGTCTACAAGACGCCTATTTATCAAAACTGCATTGACAACGTCGGCATATGTAATCAATCATATTTTTTCAATGACGTCGGTTATGAAAACTTTTGAGCTTCACATGAATTACCAAAATATACAGTACAGTATTCAGGCAGGCTACCGATCCCATACACTTACTTAAAATGTTTCCTAATTTTTGCAATTAATTCCTAAAGTATGAACTCTTTTGATGCATGTTTTCTAGAATTTTTAATCATATATTAATAGACAAAATATCAGTTTCTGTTGTATGCTCTGTACATATCTACCTAATACATATTTTTCCGAGCATATGCACCCCTTGCTTATATAATGGTGATTGGTGAATGAAGTTCAGAGGCAATCGCGCCCCATTGAATTACATGTGCATCGCTAGTTGCCTATATTATCCAAATCCCAACCTTACCATCCTTTTTTCCTCAAAATTTGATCATATTTCGAATTTACATTTTCCAGAGAAACTAAATCACGCCGGCGATTTAAGTGTTGAATTGAGGCCTCTTCCCTTTCACATACCGGGTGATTGGTGAATATTACAAAACCGAACATAGGAAATTTAACATTTTTGCAGATTATTCCTCCCCATATGTTAACTTAAGAGGGTTTATAATTGAACCAATCGCGAAAGAAGATTTTTATCTAATGATATGCGAATTAGTTCATTTTCAGTTGTATTTCGCATAATTATTGTATTGTCTATATGGTGTAAGAAAATCGTACTTAACTTGATCTTCCAAAGGCGACTCGACAGCAACTCATTTTTGATCGCCCATTACATGAGCGCAGTAGGTACAATAATATTTGCTCACGGCTCACACATAGATCTTTTAACGCCATACTTAATAATAATTATGCTAAAAATTTGAAGAACAATATAACCAAAAGAATTGCAAATAAAGATAAACGATTAATTTATTTTATTGTTTATCTACCAGAAACCTTATGCTAAAAGCAAAGTAAAAATCAATACATGATAGAACATAAGCAAAGTATAAATGTACACAATTAAGAAGCGGATCTCGGTTTCAGCTCATCGTAACAAGGGCGTAGAAAAATGTAATTCCTTTTCATGGGGTTGTAATACTCGTGCCCTTTACTCCAATCGTAACTTACAGCATATGCAAAGATTTGTCCATTATGATTAAATGCACAACGTGTAACAGGCTGTTCCATTAATTCCGAAGGTTTCAGTTTGGTTCGAGCATCCTTATCCCAAAAGCTGAACGAACCATCGGAGCCTACAGTGGCCAACGTTCCATGAACCGGATGAAAAGCAATGTCGTTTACTGCATAAATGTCCTGGTATCCATTTGGAGTGCCGTTTGAACGGTGACATTTAAAAGTAAAATTGTCTTTGGGATTGGTGGGATTGACGTATTGTATCGCAACTCTTCCCTCAACGGAACCTAGTGCATAACCGGTCGGAGATTTCTTTTTATCCCTGCAATATTGCGTTCTTTAACACTACAAAATTATACCACAGATGTAAATATACTATTGATAGCTCATGACATAATGGAAACCTAAAATTTACTTCCATAGCTAACACAACTTACATTTAAATGAGACAAATAGTATATTCAGCTGTACACCGAAAATTCTGTGAAAGACAAATTTTTCGTTTTTGATCCAAACTGCAGCAAAATATTTGTCGCCATGGACAATAACATTTATTTCATAGTTTTTTTTTGTAAATTTTGTAATACAGAAGACAAGATGCTTATGACTACTTTAGGAGAAATATATTATCATAAAATACATCAATATTTTCTTTCATTTTACCAATTAGCTCACTACAATAATATACAGTATGTCCCGTGACTCGATGGACATAGCTTAACACTGTATTTACTCAATTCGAAGAATACCTAATAGGCTATATCAATTTAATCTTAAAAATACGTCAAATGTCACCATAACAATATGACAAAACAGTTACATGGCCTACTAGATTGATTTATTGTTAAATTTAATATTGCATATAACTGATTAACTATTGTATTTTGGACAAAGTGTATAAGAAAATTTTGATTTGTATTGTACTTGGTCAAATATACTCGTAATAAGATAATAAAATACCGAATATTCATTGCAAGTCTAATTTAAATTTATACTGGGTGGTGCCTAGCACGACGCAGCATAGGGATTTCAATGGTAATTTCTTTATAGTCAATTACTAGCTCCCCTAATTATTTTAGAGCAAAAGTCTAAATAAGCTTTTTTAGAGAAAAAAAATACTGTATCTGTTCATGCTATTACTCATAATTTTCCGTTTTTCAAAACCGTAGAAATCGACAAAATAAAAAGGTTCCTTTTTCAATAAATCAAATATGCCTTGGAATTACCTAAAAAAACAGCGATCACGTTTCATTATTTGCCTTTGACGTATATTAAATTTATACTTGTTCATAAATTACTTAAGAACTGCGAAGAAAGCAATAACGTTCAAAATTTCCGTCAAAACCATCAGGAAAACGACAATACATTCAACGTTTTGGATGTAGTAGCGGAAAATCCGAACATAAGTTTAGGAACAAATCTGCTTCAAATCAGTTTTTTTTCTTCGATTATGTAGGTACTCTGATTCTCTCTGATAAACAAATAGTATCTGATGCAGATGCAGCATACATTCTCTAAAAAAACATTGCAGTATTTTTCTCTCTAAAAAAACGTATTTAGACTTTTGCTCTAAAATAATTAGGGGAGCTAGTAATTGACTATAAAGAAATTATCATTGAAATCCCTATGCTGCGTTGCGCTAGGCAACACCCTGTATATCATTTCTATATGTGCTTTAGCCTTACGACTGTGCTCATTTTAAAGGACATGATCTACATGATGGTGGTAAAGAAAGTACCTACTTATAAATTATTAAATTTTATGGATTTTTGAAATAGTGCTTTGCCACCAAATTTTAGTGTTGATTTGGTCTTCTGCTACAGAAGCACCCCGCTGAAAGTTGCTAGTAGTGATGCAAAAAATATTGGTTTTCCCCCATAACCGAATGCCAAATATTCGATGCATTACAAGTTGTTATATTTCCAATAAAGTATGTAACGTTATTTTCTCTTCATCATCAAATTAATGTAAACTTGATATGAGTGAATAATGAAATTATATAATATCATAGTCTGTTCTACAAAAAGGGCCCAAGATTGTAGCGATTTAAATTGTATTTTTATTTCTTAAAACAACTTATAGTGTTAAATTAGATGATTTCAGCTACAATTTGACAAAAAAAAATTAATTTCGGCATTTGCTTCATGTGCGTCACCAAAATTCTTTTTGAAATGGGTTATTAGGGGAATTTTTGTTTTCTTGTCTGTCCTCGTCTAACTCAAGAATGAAAAGAGACAGTGATGTCAACCTTCACAAATCAATTTCCACAAATTCAAGGATCAGTGCAATGGAATATGAGTCGGATTGAAAGTTGCGTTTCCGAATGTGTCAAAAAATTCACCCACTGAAAATCCTATGCGATTCTTCGTATCTTGTTTTGGTGTATTCTTGTAGATAATTTTTTGAATTTTCCGTCATAAGATGTAAATGAAGGGTTTAAACAAATTTGTTTTTTGCCAAGGCGTCGCTAATACTGCACCATATAATAAACATATAGGGTTAAATCATAAAAATTAAAGTTGCTATAGCCTTGGGCCATATTTATAGAATAGACTGTATAATAAAATAAGCTTTTCTACCATTTCATTAAACCACATTGCACAAAAGCAGAATCTCTCGCTTTCGACATTGAAGTTTAATGCCTGTTTGCACCGACAAATTTAAGCGGAGCTTAGCTTAAGCGTAGCTTAAAATCCATGGCAACGATTATTGAGACAATGGTTGCGATGGATTTTAAGCTACGCTTAAGCTAAGCTCCGCTTAAATTTGTCGGTGCAAACGAGCATAAGTGTGATTGTGAATTCACCGAAACTATGTGTACCAAGCAACAAATCAATCGTCAAAAAGTATGCTTGCCAAATTCCCCTGGTTAAACGGACGCCTGCATATACCCTTACCGTAATTTACCAATACACCACTGATTAAGACATACCAAACTTTCTTTACAATCACATACAGGAAATGCGTGAAGCTAATCTAATTAGTTTCATGTATTAAGAGCAAAAAGAAATTACTCCCAAAAACATATTCTTAAGAGAGAGAGAGTGCAAAAAATTAAACATGTTAAAAGTTCAACAACTCATATTTCATCTCCTCTTGAAGAAGGCGAATCATGATCAAAGTCCCAAGAAAGAAACCTAATAAAAAATCAAAGATAATAAAAACTGCGTATGGGGTGTGTTGGTAGAGCAGTCTTGCCTGAAACCCTGCCCATTCAAAAATAAAGACAAAAAAAATAAAATATTGCAGTAAGTTTTTTAGGATTTCTTAAAATATCTTTATAAGTACCTAGGTATCCATTATGCTCGCCAGGAGAGAATGCCAGTCACAGAACACTTGATGCCAGTCTACAATCGTACATTTTTCATATTACACCATACGAGTGCAGACAGGCATCAGGGGTTCTGCGACCGGCATTCTCTCCTAACGAGAATAATAACTAACAGCCAATTAACATGGAATGAGCTATCGATAGTATAATTTGCATCTGTGACCATATAATTGATCTTACCTAAAAATGGAAACGCAGCGATGCTGGTATTTCAGTGGACTTTCCAATCTCTTGTACTCCTGTGGAGTTCCTTCCAATTGGTAGACAATAATGTGACGACCTGCAGTTCCCACCACAGCCATTGGATAATCTACATCGGCGCAGTAACACCTTTCCGGCAAGTTGATACTCATAATAAGCGTCGGACTTCGTGGATCCCAAAATTTAAGCGTTTTATCCCAAGAGCCGGTCATTAGACAGCTGTAATTGGGTGATTTAATCCAGTGACAAGTCTTAATCGGTGCATCATGTTGGGCAACTTGCATCACTTGATTACTTGCCAAGTCCCATGCTTTCGCTTGTTTATCACACCCAGCCATGTACACCTATTAGATATTGTAATGAATCGGTTTAAAAGAACCGGTAATTACCTTCGATCCGTCATCACTCCAGCAAACATCCAAAACAGGAGCACCGCAAGTTTGCATGCTTTTAGGAATGGTTTTACCGGTCTGCTCTACCTCCCAACACCTTACGTTATTGTCCCAACTGCCGGCAATTAGAAAATTTTGAGGAATTGTAGCGGGTGAAAACGCCAAAGAACTAATAGATTCATCTGGGGGAGACGTTACTTCAAAATCTTTCATCGGATTTGCAGTACTCGGTGCTGCTGCCGCATTGAAGCTGTTTACACTTTGATTAAACATTTTAATCAAAATTCTTCAGATTTCTAGGCTAATTATACAATTTCGATTTAATTTTATGAAACTTCGCAAACATCAAAACAAGCCAACTTAAATAACCATGTTGCCATGTTTCCAAATGCCAACAATGTCAATGTCAACTGTCAAACAAAATGATGATTTATATCTACAGGGTGTCTGTCCGAAGAATGTTCTTATTCTAGATCGTTCCAAAAAGATAATGGCGCAAAAAGCCAGTTTTGAATAGAATGCAAATATACCTACTATCTAATTTCAAAATATTGACATATGTTATTTTATGTTTGAAGTGTTCATAATTGTTGCTCACATCATGTTTAGGGTGGATGCTCTTATTTCTAATTTATTTATCTAAATTTCAGATTTATTTATTTCATCATTAATTGTAATAAATAGTAATCACTAAAGGTAAATCTAAGAAAAGTTTTTTAACACTAATCCAATCTTAAGAGGAACAAACAATGCAAATCGAATTTCCTTCTCACAGAGCCAACTGAAAATATCGGTTCTTTGGCATTAATAAGTCATAACGGTACCGGTCATCATAACTTTTTGAATAACGGCTCCGCGGGTTCTAATTCCTGCTTTAAAACAGGCGCGCCCGTAGAACAAATTTTTTGTTTTGCAAGAAAAACTTTCCTATTGATCAAGTCAACTGACAGATATTCAGATATGTGTCAAGTCCAATGTGGTATGGACCAAAATGCTTATTTAGTAAAACACTGAGCTAACGGCGTGATTGATTCTCACTTATAAAATAACCGTTTGAGCGTTTGCAACAGTTTTCTCTATGGACAGGACGGAAAGGTAACGTCCTACGAATAAAAATTAAGAGGAGAGAATAAGGTGACTTCATGGAGAGAAGCTTGCATTAAAGAGCACGCGATGGAAATAGATAACAGATTATAAGAGTGGGGAGAAATCCGTCACCATTGGCAGTGACTTGACGACAGGGACAGTCGTGGTATATCTGCCGGGAGCGCCAGGTTTACGTGCTCTCCCTCGCATGTAGTCAGGAGATGTTCTGTTCAGGTGCGTTTAGACGTATTCAGTAGCTGGCGCCAGTCTAACTGGCCTGCCAACTCTTGCGGCTGGTAAAGCGCTGGACTCAGGTCGTTTAAAGCCGCTTTAGGCAATTTTCGTGCAATGCAAGAGCAATGCAAGTTAGAGATACGTTACTGCGCATGTTCATACGCAATTCAGGTGCAAGAAAAATAAATCTAGAGAAAGTTCTATTTCACTTGCAAGTTTGGCGCAAGTTCTAGTAACTTTTCTAGTAATTTTGTCAATACCACAATTTATTTGGTTTCGCGTGTGTTATTTTTGTGTTTTTTTTAATAGCAAGCGCCACCACATAACAAGCTGTAGCCAGCTTAATTTCCTTTTGTTTGCTCATACCTAATGGTCAATTTTATTAAGTTTCAAGAATAACCTTCTGTGTAAACAAACTGAAAATTTTCAATTTTTGAAAAATATGTTGTCAGTACTGCAACACTTTTCTGAACTTGCACAAAAGTTGTAACACAATTGCATAAATGAAACCGTAATAAGCAATGCAAGGCAATTTTAGAATGCATAGCACAAGCCTTGCATTGCACTAAAATTGCCTAATGTAAAGCGGCTTTTACACATGTCCACTGGCATAAAAGCATAAAACTTTCTTTTTCAGTGAATTTACGCGCCATTTTATGAAAAAATAAACAATGCGCCAATAGGCTTCGATAGGTTATGACAACGAGACATCGATTGACGCCAACGTGTTCAGACGTTGCCTGCAGCACTGGCGCAGGTGTACGGGGTTGGCACTTTGGCAGCTACTGGCAAGAAAAAAAGACGCGTTCTCCATTCGTTCCAGCGCTTGCGGTTGACGGCTAGTACTGGACTGGCACAAAAGTATTCACACGATGCCAGTAATATGCCAGGTCTGGCAGGCTAGTGCCCAGTTACTGGATACGTCTAAATGCGGCTATAACTCAAAACTGGCAAGTTGTGGGATTCGAACTCACACCCTGTGAGGTTAGAGTCCGAGTCTTATACCACTACGCCAAAATTTTATCAGAACTCAAGGCAACGTAACTGCTCAGCACAATAAACAGTTTTTTTTTTTTAAATTAGGTGCAATCGTAACTGAGAAAATTATGTAAAACTTTCGTTTTCGTCACATAACTCTACATACAAAATTAAGCAAAGAATAGTTCATTTTTGATTTATTATTTATTTATTAATTTAATTGTAAAATATTTTGAAAAATATACTAAATAATAAATTGCTTCATTCTATTATCCGGGGGCATAATTTACAAAAGCATATAACGGGCGATCAAAAATGAGTTGCCTTCGAGTCGCCTTTGGAAGTTCAAGTTAAATACGATTTCCCATGTAAACAAAAGTTCCAAAGGTGACTCGACAGCAACTAATTTTTGATCGCACAGTATAAAGGTTGATTCTCACTATACATAACGTTTCCATACCATATCCATTCCATAACCATTCCGTAAATTATTATAGGCTACGAAATTGACCTTTAAGTGATATGTGCGTAAGACATTAAGTCGCGCGCTAATACACATTCGCCTTCCATATGTGAACGGAAAGGAGAGTGTGTATTAGCGCGCGGCTAAATGTCTTACGCACATATCACTTAAAGGTCAATTTCATAGGTATAATAATTTACGGAATGGTTATGGAAAGGATATGGTATGGAAACGTTATGTTAAGTGAGAATCAACCTTAACATATCAATAAAAAATAACATGGAAAGTAATTTGAGGAACAGCAACACTGTTTACAGTTTCTAAAGTCTGCAAATATATACAAGAAAATATAGTACCTATGTAAAGCGCCGAAAGACCGCAGCAGTTGTATTCATAAAAAAAAACTTATAACACGCTCTTTAAAAAAATTAACTATTTTGTTTACATTGTTTACAAAAGCTACCATTTGAATTTTCACCCAATAATTAGCACGTAGTCTGTATACTAGGTTACAATTGATCAAACTTGACAACGTTGGATAAATGAGGTTAGAATTACAACAAGGGTAGATTTTTCCCGCGTTCTTCAGTTGAGTTCATTGTGCGCCAGTCTCACCATTTTGTTTGTCGATCCCGCGTTTGCTACGTTTTTTTATTGTAAGATATTCATTTAAAAGGAAATATCCCATTTTAAATTTCGTGTAATTTTTTAGTATTTGTGTTTAATTGCTGTATAATCATGTTTGAAGCTCGCCTAGTATCCAGTGGTACCTTGAAAAAAGTATTAGATGCAATCAAGGACCTCCTAAATGAGGCATCCTTTGATTGTTCAGATACAGGCATTCAATTACAAGCAATGGATAGCTCTCACGTAAGTCTGGTCTCGCTTTCTTTGCGCGCTGATGGTTTCGATAAGTATCGCTGTGATAGAAATCTTACAATGGGAATGAATCTAGCGAGGTGAGTGAATAAGTGAAAACGTTTACTTACTAACGTACTTATCTTTAGTATGACGAAGATTTTAAAATGCGCCAATAATGATGATACCGTCACTGTCAAGGCCCAAGATGATGCAGATTGTGTTACGTTTGTTTTCGAATCAAAAAAACAGGAGAAGATATCCGATTATGAAATGAAATTGATGAATTTGGATCAAGAGCACTTGGGCATTCCTGAAACTGATTTCTCTTGTGTTATACACATGCCATCGGGAGAGTTTTCCCGTATCTGCAGAGATCTTTCCCAGTTTGGAGAATCTGTAATCATTTCCTGCACCAAAGAGGGTGTTCGCTTTTCGTCTTCTGGTGATATTGGTAGTGCTAACATTAAATTGGCTCAAACTAATAATATTGATAAAGAAGAAGAAACTGTATCTATAGATCTACAAGAGCCTGTCACATTAACCTTTGCCTGTCAGTATTTAAATTCCTTCACGAAGGCTACTCCTTTGTCCAATAGAGTGTCGTTGTCAATGTCTGCAAATGTTCCTTTGGTTGTGGAGTATGAAATTCCTGATTTAGGGCATATTCGATATTATTTAGCTCCCAAAATTGAGGAAGATGAAAACTAACTATTGATTTCGTATTAAACTAGCTTTCTCTAATTGATCAATTTGTATATTTTTATAAACATATTTTTAAGTAATAAAATGTTTGTAGTGATTTCTCTGTGGTTACTTATTTGCGTATTTTGTTAACTATTAAATGTGTCCACATCAAATTAAGGTAATGTAAATAGACTATACCAACAAAATTATTTATAATTTACTAATAAACTACAGTAGGTACATAGTACACAGCTAATGGTTCTTATTCCAAGTATATGCTTCTTCCTTTTCCTTTATAACTTCATTAACATAAGGAGTTAGGTACAGCACATCATTTTCTAAAGACATCCATTCGTTCTTCGGCAAAATAGATTTAGTTATAGATAGCTGAGTAGCACGAAGAATACGGTAATTCCTTTCATCGACCAGATTTTGAGGCAATCTGCGTAAAGCCTCAATTACATCCTCATTTTCATAGAGTAAATCGTCTCGCATGAGTCCATACTTATTGAAGCCCGACAAATTGTAACAAAAGCGTTGAAATGCGCTACTCATAAATCGTTTTTGTACCATTCGTAATGCCATTTCGTAGCCTAAAATTATACATTTATTGTACTTCTTTGGAAATATATATCATAAAATTCACTTTTTTAATTGTAGGGATAACCAAATTTACGTAACACTGCAAAGTTGCAAATGTCAGAAGCTGTCGAAAAAACGTCGAAACTCAAAAGCACAGAACAGACAACTCAACGTTGCCATACGTACCAAACAAATGAGAAATTGATACCAATTTATTTTTGTCTTCACAGAGAACTTGTAAATTTAGTAGTGGGCGGGTTCAGCCGGGCCGCGAATTTCCAAACTTCTTCCTTATCCAACGCACCGCTTTGCCGAATAGAGGCGAACACATATTTCATGTTTCCCAACTCAATTCAGAGTGCGGTCCTGCACTTTGGTTGGGGTCTGTTACTTGATTACGAGAGCAGATCCAGGAATTTTATTGAAACAATTGTGTGATATTGGATTAACACTCAAATGAGTACATTGGATATCAGAATAATTTTATTATAACATGCTTGAACATTAATTTCGTGTATTGTTTTGCCCGTTACATTCTAAAACTAATCAGCATTGATTAATTGTTCATATTGTAACGTGATTTATAAATTCGGGTTCGATTTATATCAATATTTATTAAACAAAATTAAAACACTATAAAAACTGTACAATTTATATTTATTTGATTGACTGATTTCCCACAATAATTATTTGTTGAACAGCTTATTTGAAGACAAGGGCACAAAAGGAACAATATAAAATCAAAATTTCAATCTAGATTGCCATACTTTTTTTCAGTTTCTTGTGTTTTGGCTTGCTCTATGAGCTTGAAGGACGTTCCGCTGCTATTCGTTTTGCACCTTTAGCCCACCCAGGTCTAATTTCTCGGCGGCCCTGGGTTGGACACGAATATACATATGTACACAATCACCAAGAAAATAAGTCACGCCACCAAATGACGACTAATGTTATTTGTATCCGAAATAGCAAGTGGCAAACATGGCGCCGCGTTGCATAAAACATTTGTTATTGAAGCAAGGCGTACTCCATGCTTTTGTTTTGAGTACCGTTATTTGAATCATGTTTTTTTTGTTATATTGTACAGGTAATTGTGCCTTTATATGGTTTATTAAGTATTTATTTATGTATTCACGTCGAGGTTTATTATCTGCCGAGCTGGGTAATTATTTCAAATGGATCTATTTTAAATAGGTATTTAAAATACAAAATTGTATTTTGTAATAGTATTTTGTATTTTAAATAAACTTATAAAAACTATTTTATATTTTGTATTTGAAATATATTTCTCAATGTATTTTCTATTTCATATTTAAAACATTTCTGAATCTATGCAAAAAAAAACTAATTTTGTATCATCAATTTTGTATCGTTTTATGGTTTTAATGATGCCTATAGACTTGCCTACGTTGGATCAATATCCAATAGTAGGAACACTGTTTTTTAAGTATAACACTACACTACTCCTTCGTCGGCTCCGGTGGAACGCTTGTTTTCCTATGCAGGAATAATTGTTTAACAAACGCAGATATTGAAACACTGCTATTACTTAAAGCAAATGATTAAATCATGAGAAACGATTTTTTAATATGTTCTTGCTTTATGAATATTAATATTATAATAATAACCCTCAATGTAACAGATAGATAGGTGCTTATTTATTTGAAATATTTAGTTGAAATATCTATTTTTTATTTAGTATAAATGGAAATTCCAAACCTATTTAGTATCTTGTATTTAAAATAAATTAGCATTTTTTATTTTCTATTTTAAATAGATTTTGAAAAGTATTTTGCCCAGTTCTGATTATCAGTGATTAGCAGTACTGTCTCTCTGCATGATTCGCTTTAACTATTCCGTGAGGGAAGTCCCTAATACAGTCCGATGCTTCGCTGTATGTGTATCTGTTACTTTCTTACTCGTGGCCCGCTGCCGGACGGTGCGTAAGCTATACGAGAAGGGGAGGCCCTCTAATTTGATCTTTCTCTGTATGAGTGGTTCAACTGTTTCCGTGGAGTAATAGTACCTAATACAGGTCGATTCTTCGCTGTATCTGTTGCCTGCTCGTCTCGTGCAGATTGTAGCTTTGGCATCTTAGCAATACGTGAATTAAGGGGTCTTCTAAGGTTCAAATTAGTATTTCCTCTATTTAAAATATGTTTTGCTTGAACGATAATAGACTTTAACATGAAAACTTGCCATTGGCATCCTCACATGTACTTTTAGTGTTAAATTAATTTATGTTAACTGAGGCTGATGTAAAGTCACACAATTTTGATGTTTTCCTATGTACACGCAATTTATTATTTTACGAGTTGTTTTATCCCAATTGCTTGTAAATGTGTTTTAATCTTGCATTAACGATGTATCGTGTGTTTAACTGCTTTAACTGATTCGATTACCTCCTTTTTATCGTACAGTTTGAGATATTTTATTTATGCATTTTCCCTTTTGCATTTTGTTCTTGTATTGTTGTAGTTGATGTATTTGTGTGGGCTACGGTTGATTTTTGTGCAAAGCAAACAGTAGGTACCATCCGCATCGACAAAATTTGTGACGTCTGTCTTTACCTCCCCATTTCTCCGATTTTAGAAAATAGGCAACTCTGTCTGCACACACACTAATTTTTCGTAGGTTATGTAATGTACTGTACATAACCAAACAAATACAAACAAAATTAATTTAACTTTACCAAAAGGAAGAAGTATAGTAACAAATGCCCACTGACAATAAACGTATTGCAGGGCCTGAAGATAGTATCTCTTATCGCCTTTTTAAAGAAACAAGTAATGAATCTGTTCTCAGTAAAATTAACAATTTAAAAAACAATATCCGTTCTGATGGAAGGAAAACAAATGAGCAGCGTAAAATTTGTAAGTATCCTCAACTGCTATCGCAGATTAATTTATAAATACCGACGTTTATAGTTTTAAAATGTGGTGTCGTTAGTCAAGCAAAAGGCTCTGCTTACTTCGAAGTTGACAATACCAAATTAATTGTATCAGTTTACGATCCTCGTGAGATACCCAAGAAAACGGACTACAGCCTAAAGGGCGAATTGTTTTGCATTTTTAAATATGCACCCTTTAGTTGTCCCAACCGGAGAGGACACCAACAAGATGCAGAAGAGAAACAACACAGTGCCATAATGAAAAGGGCATTAGAATCGGCCGTATGTCGCCACGAATTTCCGAATTTTCAAGTAGATGTGTACGTTCTAGTGCTAGAAAACGATGGATCTGCTTTAAGTGGTGCAATTACAGCTGCCGGAATAGCATTGGCACAAGCAGGCATACCCATGTATGACACGATCACGTCGGCAACATTGGCAATTCAAGGCAGTACAAAATTGTTGGATCCCACTTTAGAAGAGGAAGCATTGTGTACAATAGCTACGCACAAAAGTGATACAGAAACTGGTTACGATAGTCATGGGATTATAGTACTTGCAATTCTTTCCACACACGAACAAATATCCGAATTTTATCAACTTGGCAACTTAAATTTAGATACTTTGAACGAGAGCATTAGTATATTAATGAACGCCACAAAAGAAATTGTGCCACTGGTGGAAAAGTGTTTGGTAGACTACGTAAATAAAACTTTCAAAGCCAATGGGCAAAGTTGAGGGTACTTTTGTAAAACACTGTCATTATGTATCGAGCAATTGTGGATGCGGCGAGTTTTTATTTTACTGTTTTTAATTTCACATTGTAATATCAATAAATCTCGTGATTTCATAGTTTCAATTAATTCATATTATGAAATATGGGTTGGATGTTTGTATATGGTCTGTATTTTTAAGAGTTGTTCGATGCAAAAAAAACCCATGATTACCTACAACTGAGAAGATCTCTGATTCGGTTGTAGAATTTTGTGTGTGTCGGTATTGAGCCTTGTCTAAAAGCTCAATAAACTTTCAATGTGGACTAATATAATAATGACATAAAACAAACATGTGCTATCTCACAACCAAAATAATACGGTGTTCATGGTATTTTAATGAAAGGTCTCATCGCTAAGAAATTAATATCTACCAAAGTAACTTTCCTCCACGGCCCTGTGGCAGGGGGGCGGGGGTGATTATTGTTTCCTACCAACTACCTCCCTTATCCTCTTATCAAAATTGGGGGAGGGGGTGGGGAGACGAACTGTGTTACTCTAATAAGAGGTCTCAACGAAAGGAATTAATTTCTGCAAACCTCTACCCATGGCCCTTAGTGGGTCCACTGAAGAAGAACATTTCATCCAAATAAAAATGGTAGGGGACAAATAGCAGCCTTGTCTCGCTCCTTCCAATTTCAAACCATTCTGTCTTAATATTCCCTACTCTCATAATAACCCTGTGCTCCAGATATACCCTGCTTTTAGACTTTAGTGCTTGTGGCGACCGCAGGAGACTACGCAACAACGTCGTCTGATTGGCCCGCGCGGTCAGCCACTAGCGTGCAAGCCTGACCATTTAAATACCGGCCACAGGCGAGCACAAGGCAGTAGTGTTGGGAACTATCGAGAAAAAAAAACCATCGAATAAATTACTATTTAGTAATAAGTACTATCGAATGAATTCACTATCGAATGAATTTTTTGAATAATTTTTTTCCTTTATGTGTATTACTTATACAAATACATGGATCTTATATAAATTATAAATGAACAACGTCGTGAACAACTATCGAATAAAAATGTAAATCATCGACTTTTTTCACTTTGCTTATGCCTTATAAATTTATAATGCGTATGGTATGAGTAATTACTAAGTAATTAGTAAACGACGCTTTATATTTTATGTAGGTATTATAAAATTTATAATTCCCAATCCCAAACCGTGACCATCTGGATTAAGAAATAAATAATATTTACATTTTTCAACGTAACATAAGGTATTTAGTTTTTATGAACTGTGTGTGCAATTGCAAATAATTCGTTCATTCAAGACTCATTCGAATGAATTACTTGTCCACTATCGAATTATTCGAATGGTTTGCGACTATCGAATAGTTCGATAGTTTTCATTCGAATGCGCGCATCACTACAAGGCAGTAGTCTTCGATCGCGCTTCCCTACAACTTCATCCTCCGATCCAGCCAGCACCAGCCGCGATCCTGACTAGCAGCGCCGCCGCTTACGGATCTCCGCCGTTTCATCTTCAGCACGCACGTACCTGTACATATTGTAAATAAATCTATCTACTTACTCAACTAGACAGCATTTTATTTAGCGTCGCCCGCTAAAGTGCTTACCAATCTCCTTACTTTCAAGTTAACGCCTTTTCTGTTTAGTATGATCATCAGTTTGTTCCACTACTCCAACTTGACTTGACACATAATCAAATGCTTTCTCAAGATCTATAAAACAAAGGCACACTTCTTTTCTCCAGTTAAAATAATAACGTTTAATAAACCCATTCAATTCAAAAACATTGTTTGGTCACGTCATAATATACGATCATGTCTGTCTATGTATTATGTATCTACTTATAATTTAAAAAAAAAATTAAAAATAAATAAAATAAAATTTAAAAAATAAAAATTAAATAAATAAAATAAATAATAATTTTATATTTGTTTTTTATTTTATCTTATTTTTTGTATTCCCTAGAATCTACATATTATATATACAGGGTGATTCCTATAGTACCTGCCACCGTTTGGGAGCGTATAGGGGGTGCCTAGGGGAGTATTTTGATATAGGACACTTGGGGTCGGAAATCTAAAATAAGGGCGCCAGAACCAAATTTATCTTCTGGAATTTCACGCCTGTATGTAGGCAACCCAACCGACCGACGTTTCGCGCGGAGCGATGCAGAGCGAGTTAGCGCGAGGAAGCGACATGGGAGGGAAGGAGGGAAAACGACAGTCAAAAGCAATAACGTTTACAAGTGTTCAACGTGGCCACCGTTGTTCTCAATGCACTTCCTACATCTAGCCAACTATTATTATACTATTGCCATAGTGTTTATTCACTTGATACGCGTCGTTGCAGACGGGATTTCGTGGGTTTAAACAAAATTCTGATCAAGTGTCAGCCACACATCGCCGCCTGAGATCGCTCCGTGTGCACCGCCCGCCGGCCGGTTGGGTTGCCTACCTACAGGCGCGAAATTCCAGAAGGTAAATTTGGCTCTGGCACCCTTATTTTAGATTTCCGACCCCAAGTGTCCTATATCAAAATATTCCCCTACGCACCACCTACACGCTCCCAAACGGTGGCAGGTACTATAGGAATCACCCTGTATGCACAATTGGTACCTTTAATAAAGATATTTGTTCGAGCAGTTTGGCAGTAAAATGTTTTTAGGTTCTTTTAGGTCTATCAATTAAGTAAGTCCATTATATTGCCTTCAAGCAGAATGTGGTGTTCGTTTCTCTGTAATTTGTTGTACATCAAGTAGTTATTTTTGTTTTATACTAGCATAGCCCAACTATTTTCTTTGTTCTTGTTATTATTTATATGTACATCAACCTCAATTGTTTAGTTTAGTTTTAAAAAATTGTTATGCACCCTGTATAAGCAATTCAAGTAGTTTTTTAAAAGGGTGGTCATAAAAGTTTAAGAACCGCTGGCGTATTTAAAAAAATGTAGCTTCCAGTAAATTTTTGAAAAGAAAGGGTCCCTGACGGCCATCCATTGTTCAATGACTTTTCAGTGATTTTTCTTCATAATTGTTGCAATGAATTTTGGTTCGATTTAAAAAACAGAACATACCTATTGTGAAAAGTGCAAGATTATAACAAAAACCACAAGTAAATGAAAACCTTCAGTAAACAAAATGTCTAGGGAATCAAACATACTTAAAAATATTTTATTATAAAATAACAATAATTACTCCAGTTATTTATTGTTGTTTTTCATTGAAATTACAAGTACGGTTCAGGAAATTCAAAAGTAACTTCCCTTCCAGTCAACTTCTTATATACCGAAGCAAACGTGTCCACCTACAAACCAAAAGTGAAAATTGGCTCAGAGAATTCCTAAGAAGTTTCTTACCTTATGTTCAATAGTCGTTTGTTGATTTTTGTCAAGGTGAACTTTGGTTAGTTGCGATCCGTCTAACCTTATACGAATTCGTTTTCCAACAATTTCAGCAGGGAATACTAAATCTTCAAGAAGCGCATCATACACGGCAGTTAAGGTACGAGATTTTGGACGCTTTTGCTTGTTTTTAGCACGGGTCTTCCTCGTCGGTTTTTGAAGGATCTTACGTTCTCCGACAAACACTACATGTTTTCCACTAAACTTCTTTTCTAATTCGCGTACCAATCTAGTTTGAATTTTTTGAAATTGCTTTAACTTCGGGATTGGTACGTAAATTATAATCGACTGTAAAAAAGTGTACATTAATTCACAATCTCAATTGAGCATTCCATTTAAATGTCATTAGCACTCAGAATTTTCTTAATAACCACAGCTCGTCTTTGGTGTCCCAAGAAAGTTCATCATGTAAACAACAGGATCTGACTTGCACGCATGCGACAAAACTTACCTTCTTATTGTTAAGTTCGATTTCTCTAGCTTTCGTAATATGCAATTCACGTAATTGGGCCTTCAGATCGGAATTCATCTCCAATTCTAGAAGAGCCTGTGAGACCTGAGTCTCGAATTGGTCAGGTTCTCCACCTCCCGGTTTAATGATTTTCGTAGACATCTGAAAAACACAGTTCCCTTCAGTACTTAATACCGTTTGAATAAACAAGTTGTACAAAACTTCAGTAATAAAAACTTCGGCAAATGAAAAGCTGTAACATTGGCAAAACGAAATCACAATTTATTACAATTTTAAGTGATCATCGAGCACTATAATTCTTTAAATTGAATACAAAAATGTTTAAGGTGATTTCTGAAGACGAGATTTTTTATTAAAGCACCTTACGTTAGTCAAAATTTACACAAAATTGCATTAAAAACAGAGGCAAAACGTGTACCTTGTCATTTAATCGGGTAAAGGAAAGAGGTTAGCGGTTACATCGCATGCTCATTCGTCACATGATTTGTGACTGGTGCAAATAATCCGCGCCAAATTTAAAATTCCAAAACACTTATTTTTGAATACAATATTCCAATTCTGTTTGTGAACGCTATATTACCTTACAGCATTAGCTTATAGATTACAATTAACTTCACTACCACGATTTATCCACGTCGTAAAACTGATTAGGGGATGCTTTTGCAGTTTTTCAACACAGTACACTTGGTTTCACAGTGGCGTAGTGTCAGAGTGAGAGAGGTAGGGTTTATTTATAAAGCCCCATGCAAACAATTTAACTTCATATTTATAGTGTATTTCTCCAAGGGAGTACAATGGTACTCTTCGGTACAACTATTATCGCTATACTTTAATTTGTCCTATTAACAAATTAAACCGATTTTATTAAAAATAAAAAGCAGAGTTATGTGCACACGAATGTTTCCAGAGGGACCCTCAATATGCTGTGTCGGAGGGTATACGCCGTATATGTTTAAAGTAGTTTTTTCTTAGGTAGCGTATGATAATTTGCTACATACCCCAATATACGATCGTATACGTAACATTGCTGAAAATCTTGTCCTGAGAATGCAGATAATGGCGATTTCTTTACGTTGATTACTTACTCTATAATTAGAACGTGTTTTTATTATTACGGTAACTTCTGGATAACCTATGTCTATGGGATAACCACAGCAGCTTTGATTGCTTTGAAAATCCTAACCAAACTGCAGTTCCCAAGCAGTTTCTACAAGTTTCTAGCATCCCACGTACCGGTCAGACGTTATAATCACAGATACACGCTGAATTGGGTATTACCATTGAATAAAAACACTATAAGAAGCCTAACCCCGTGGAAATAAAGCGCGACAGAGATTGAACTGAGAATATTACTTACGCATTTTTGTGGAAAAAAATTGTTCATATCAAAGAATCGAACCCCGCCTATAGTGTGCCACAGATTAAATCGGGACTGAACTAAGTTAACATTTCCCACCGTGAAAGCAGTTGCTCTCTGTAAGTGCTCGTAGCATTCGTGCCCTCCAGGCGACACAGACAGCTTCCCTCTTCTCTACAAGGTGTAACCCTCAGGATACTACATCATGAATTGCACATAAAAACCTTGCGTGCGACGTCAGACATGCGGCGTGGTTGCTGTCGCCGTATCATAAATCGTGTTTGGGGCTTGAAGTTCGATGAAGTTTGAGTCTGTTTCCAAGGAAGAGTAGACTACCTGAGAGTACCTTTTGAGACCAAGGTAATAGTCGTCATAACAATAGACTAAGAGAGATGAACCGGCCCCGAAGAAGGCGAGAACGGCGGAGACTTTTTTAAATTCCAAAGGGTATTCTGATAGTCGATTACCTTGAGAAGAACTCAAAGCACAGGAGAATTAATTTATCATTTTTGGAATATTTTGCAAGCTACATTCGTAGAGAAACAACCTGGATTTAGGCTTAGCGAAAAAGAAAATCTAAATCCAAATTATTTTTAAAGATGACAGTTTACAAACTAAAAACTCATGCTTATAGTACATTTTTACCATGCTAAAGGGTTTTTATCGGCGACAGAATAGCTAAATCGTCCATTCAATTATTAACAGTGTATGAACAGAGAAAGACTATTTCAGAACACGCTTTATATGCAATGATTTTTTACCATCCAAATGTCTTAATTGGGACTTAGGTTTTTCAGTTAGAAATATTAGTTAGAGGATCTGAGAACGCAATTATAAGTAGGTAGCGAACGTTGACGTTTTACGAATATGCTCTTGTTTTGATATGGCAACATAGCAATTAGCAGAGTGCCCTAGCGGATAAATGTGTAACGAATCGTTCAATAATTTGTTTTTAGTGACCTCTGGGCTTGAGAAAATAACCTCTCGTGTACGCGTAACTTAGTTTAGAGTTTTGGCCAAAAATGGCTTCCATCTGTAGAACATTGGCGATTTCTTCGAGCCTTCGTAATACGATTTTATATCCAAGTATACGTGGCACCGCTACGAAAGGTATTAACCAAATTGATTCCATGTGTTTCAAAATAAATGTTATTTACCCTGTATCGTATTACGTAATTAGAGTACTCTTAAGCATTGCAATATACCTTTACTTTCTTGGATTATGAAATTCTTTTTTATTAATATTCCTAATTGTTTAGTGACATTGGGTGATCCCGTGGAGCATGCCACTGGCTTAGAAAAACGCGAACTGTTAGCAAAGTTAGCAGGCAACGATGATCCTTTTGATATGAAAGTGATGAAGCGCGGACCCGGAACAAAGACTCAGCCAAATCAAATTCCTTCGGCGTACGACGCTCGTATTGTAGGTTGTATTTGTGAAGAAGACGCTACTTGCATAAATTGGATGTGGCTGTATAAAGGCAAACCTCGCCGATGTGAATGTGGTCATTGGTTTTCGCTTGTTCATAAAGATCCATTGTAATAATTTCGTATGTATCATAGAAAGTAATATAGTTGTGTTTAAATAAATTTATTATCTGATGCTTTCAAATTGTAAATACCAAAACCTGTTATCAATACTTAGGATTAAATTTGAAATCAGTAATAAGGCAACATCAAAAAGAAGCGGTGTTAACATTTTTATAGGGGTGTCTAATGTTCAAGTTAAACCTTAAAGATATGTGGCCTGGAAAAATATGAATTTATTATTGGACTACATACTATTGATCCATACACCATGAAGTGTTTTACTACACTAACATTCCTTATTTTCCATTCACGTTTTATTTAATGGTACAAGTCGTACAAAACACTTAATGACTTCTCAAAAAATTATTAAAAATGAAAATGCAAACGTATTATGCGCTATAGAATTTTAATAGGATAATAAAACAAGTGCTTCCTACCTTTAATGTTTATGATGCTTTATAGTCTAGTAGGCACTATCTTGGTGACAAAAATCAAATAAAGATATGGTGTAAGTGTTACATACAGCTTTAGACTCGGCTTTAGATAAACAGGCAACCCAAGAAACCATATAATAATGTCCCTATAATCTTTGTGAGTAAAAATTGCATCTGTTTTCAGTGCTAAACATCTTGCAAGTGCATTTTAGAGTTATGTAGGTTTTGGAGTAATAAGATCAGGGTCTTTTGGGCAACAGTTTTTTGAGGAAATCTTATCAGTCATGTCATGAATGAAAAGTGTGCATGTGTATTTTAGTTGATAGTACATAAATTGCAAGATAATACAGGTACCAGGTAAAACATAGGGTTAGTTGATTCATTAGTCGTACAGTTTCTTACTTGTTTTTTATTTGATACTCATGTTAATTAAGCAAATTTAAGGTTGGAAGGTCACTTTGGCAAGCTAGAGCTAATAACGTAAAATGATATTTGAGTTGCCTTATTATGATTGAAAATCTACCTAAATTCCAGCTGTAGGTATTACCTACCTTACCATACTTGCTGCTACTGTATAAGTACATTTCGTGCACTCATGAGTCATGTTATATAAGAAAATGAATAAACAAATAGAAATAAGCATGACCAATATGCTTGACAAAATTGGCGAATAATTTAAATCCATGGATATCATTTATAACAACATATTTTAGAACCTCTCTTTCAAACTAATGTAGTGTTTAAATACTTTTAAACACGTGAATTTATAGTTAAAAATTACCAAGTTATAAATTCAATGACGTGAGTAACAAATGAAATATATATTATACACAAGCAAAGGATGTGTAGTATGTATAATCAAAGACTGTAGGAGGATAGTCTTTGGTATAATCAAAGAGTACCCATAGTTTACTCTTTGGTATAATCATTGTATAGGTATATCTGTAAAGTTTGACACGAGGAAACCGCCGTAATCGTTTCCTATCGGCAATAAAAACGTGTTTAATATGCTAAAAATTATACTTTGCAGTCTCATTGCAATGTTTCTTATGTCTGTTTTTTACAACGTTCTTTTGTTTTTAGTATAGTTTATTTAAATGAATAAACAATGGTTTTTAGTTCCATTTCGGCAAAATACTCACTACTGTCAGCAAAGATACAGATATCTTATCTTTGCTCTAAGTGCCAATATAGTTATAGGATTTAACGGGAAGTGGCGCCACCAACAACTTAGACACTTGATGTATTCTCAAGTTTGGAATATGAAGTTGACGACAATGCGAATAAAGCATACTTACCTGGCGTAGGGGTTACCGTGATCAATAAGGCGGTTCTCCCAGGATGAGGCCCCCTCATTGCACTACGATCGGGCTGAAACCTGCGATTATCCCTAATGTGGATAACTCGGGCGCGTAATTTTTGGTAGTCGGGACTGCGTACGCGCTGTCCCGGTTTTATTTAAAAATAAACACAGGATCATTGAATTTATAGTATTTTGCGACCTAAAGTTTTTATACTCGTAATAGCATAGTGTACTTTACACTAAGGTAATAGATAGCTAATTCGTGTACTAAGAGCACAAAATGATATATTTATCGATTGAATAAATTGAAAGGGACAGTTGCCGCACGGCAATCTCTTGAAATCGGCAATCAATTTGCGCTCGAATTCACACAACATTTTTTCTAGAATCGAGCTGATTCACACATTTCTAAAAATTTACATCTTTCACTCAAATTAAAGCAAAATTATAAACGATCTCTAGGATCGTGAATAAACGGCAAAAGTGTAAAATTATGGAACATGTAAAAAACGGTTTGTGGGTTTTTTTTACAATAACTTTTTTTGTAAGCGGTACAGAAAAAATTCCTTCCTTGGTACAAGACACCATAACGAACCAAATAAAAAAAAGTAGAACAATAGCTCTTAAGAACTAGTAGCGTCGCAAAACGAGCGGACGGACGGACGGACAAAGTGGTCACAATAGCGCATTTTTTTTTAATTTTTGTGGAAATGCGCTAAAAATAGTTATATACCACGGTTGGAGAAGTCTATTATTGCCTTCGCACCCTACACCCCTCGGCGCAAACGCCTCAGAGATGTAATCTTGGTGCTCAGGCAATAATACTAAACTTCGCGGCTTCCTTTACCTTGCGCCACTTTTCCGAAGCGCGGCTACCCCCAGAAAATTCGTTTTCACCACCCCCGAAGGGTGGGCGTACGGAAAAAATGCGTAGAGGGTATAGGGGAGAAAGCGAGGGTGCAAAGAGGGCGGAATTGCTTCAAAAGTAGTCCTCCCCCCCCTCTCATATGGTCTAAGGGTCTCATCCATAAACTATAGGCCGTTTGGGGAGGAGGGGGGCGCAAAGGTTGCCTTTATCGACGTCACTCCACTTCCTCGCGGCGCAAAAACGAGATGACCTAGAAAAAACTTACAATTGGTCAAATGCGGCCCCAAACATCCCTCAACTGACGGCATAGCATCCGACCCCCTTCGACGATGGGGAAATTTTCAAACGAAAATCGGACCAAATTCGAGTTATCAAATCTGAAAACACCTATACAAAATATTTATGGCAGTCGAGTCGCATTGAGGAGGGTAAGTTTTTAGGAAATCGCTCACGTCTTTCCTCCGACGTCCTTTTCGCACCCTAGCATCCCTCCACTAATCCTCTCCGGGCGCACTATTGCACGCCGCCCGTCCTTGGTGTCCAGCGACTGTACATTATGCTTAAATGCTCTCCGGCCGGACCATTAAGCGATAGTTTTTCGTCGTTTTGACGTTTATTCGGAAACCACGAGCAAAGACAAAGAGGGTTAGAAAGATGCGGTTTTTTACTTTGGGCTCGTATTCGTGCTGTCTGACATCACAATCGACATTCCTCCCCGCTCCACCGGCTCCACACCGCCACATTCTAATAAACGGCACTTTTTACATTTTTGGCGTTTATTCGAAAACGCCGAGGGTGTTAGAACGATGCGGTCCTTTACATTGGTCTCCTATATTGCTCGTCCGCTCGTACGCCGATCGTACCCACATCGTCGACAAGTGTGCAAGGGACGCTAAGCCGAACGTGACCACAACGCCGACTCGTACAACACTTCTTAATGAAGTTGGACTGCAACACCAAGCAGCTTTTGACGTTAGGTTATTTGTAGAGAGGCCGGACATTTCGCCGAATGCCCACAACGCCGACACGATTTTTTGAAGGTCCATATCGCCGACTAGGGACACTACGCCGACGGACACTACGCCGACCATGCCCGCCGACCATGCCCACATCGCCGACAAGTGAACAAGGGACACTAAGCCGAACGTGACCATAACGTCGACTCATACAACACTTCTTAATCAAGCTGGACGGTGTGCAACACCAAGTAGCTTTTGACGTTAGGTTATTGTAGGTTCAGAATATTTTTTTTTAACTTTTTTCGAACTACAGACTCATACGAAAATTCTTAATCAAACTGGGCGGAGTGTGAAGCAAAGCAGCTTTGGATATTAGGTTATTTGTAGGTTTAGGACATGTTTTTTAAACTTTTTAAAATGCAAACTCATACACTGGACAGAGTATGAGGGGCCTGGATTTTCGAACAGTCGGCGTTGTGGTCACGTTCGGCTTAGTGTCCCTTGCACACGTTTCGGCAATGTGGGCACGATCGGCGTAGTGTCCGTCGGCGAAGTGGGCATGGTCGGCGTTGTGTCCCTTGCATACTTGTCGACGATGTGGGCACGGTCGGCGTAGTGTCCGTCGGCGTAGTGTCCCTAGTCGGCGATATGGACCTTCAAAAAATCGTGTCGGCGTTGTGGGCATTCGGCGAAGTGTCCTAGATCCATTTGTAGGTTTAGGAAATTTTTTTTATAAATGTAAACTCAATTCTTAATAAACTTGAACAGAGTGTGTGGGTTTTTCGAATAGTCGGCGTTTGGTCACGTTCGCGGCTTAGTGTCTCTTGTATACATACGTATCGGCGNATAGTCGGCGTTTGGTCACGTTCGCGGCTTAGTGTCTCTTGTATACATACGTATCGGCGTAGAACCATCAAAATATCGTGTCGGCTTTGGGATTCGACGAAGTTCCTAGACCCAAAAAAAAAGCCATTGGCAGCAATTATATCTTTGTTTTTATATTTATTTATTTGGGCCGATCCCGGAGGTACTGCAAGACCGGGCCAACCCGCGACGGAGGTGGAGCAAGCCCCTAACCTCCGTCAATTTCCAAAAATCAGTTTAATATACTGGACCCGCATGCGGGTCGTATCAGATATTAAGCTGATAAGAACAGATACTACACTTTGATCTTAGCCATAGGCCGAGAAGCGATAACGAATTGGGTTTAACGTGCTGACCTTATTCTGCCATGTCAGCAATTAAACTAACAGAGTTACTAGCAGCGCCCTCTCTTATGAGTTATGATAATAGTAATTTTAAACCCCAAATACTAGTGATTCCAGAATTCACTTCTTTGCTGATGGCGATTTGGAAGGATAGTAGTATTTAGACTTAAGATTTAGCAAAGGATCATTCATTATATGTATTATCTACTACATTTAACATAACATTCCTATACATTTTCAAATCAGCCGTTTGGTTTCTGGATAAATAACGCTTGGGCGCCGCGAGCCAATTATGCTTGTGGTAACGTTTCTGACCCCTCTGTAGAACTGTATAAAATATTAAAATCCACCAGAAAAAAAATTCTACTTGTAGTTTAAAATCCATATATTATGTTATGAGTTTATAAATTCAAGGCATACAATATACAAAAGTCATTGATTATACAGATATACACATAACCAATGGTGCAGTGCAGTGCTGTGCAGTGTAGTCTACGAGATACCAACATACCAATATGCCGTTTATCACCATACCAATATGAATATATACTAACATCACATAACCTCAAAAATATAATAGATGGTCTTCCTCTCAGTTCTCACCTTTATTTATTTTCATTAAATGAATAAACAAAGGCCTCAGGATTCACGGTAGATTATTTATTACATTAGATTGAAATGGAAAACGAAAATTCCGTAATTTACGGGCTTGAGTTTCAGGTAAATAGTGGAGCAATTTTAACTTTTTTGGTAGTAACTTTAGCTGCACGGTAGTACAATCCAAAATTATTTTGCTTTTAGGGTAATCTACCTTTAGGCAACCTGTTGATTACTTTATAGAAACAAAGTAGGGATGTATCTGAAACGTACAAAATTACAGACTTCACATATTATTAATAGTAGCACTTTAGTACCTACTGACATGCCTTAGTTTTATCAAAGTGCTCTCCAAGAGTCAATTTGATTATATACTTATAGTCCTTTTGTTATGTCAATCTTCTTAAGAATGAACTTTGTGCGCTTTCACATGTAGATATTAAATTATTGATGGCAAAGAAGAAGACTGCGTATAGTGTTGATACACAAAATGCGTCTGAGAATACAAAAATTTGGCAAACAAGGCTGTGAGGGATTTCTAATGAGTCTGTATTAGTGATAGGTATCATGTTCTAAGATTGACTTAACTAATAATCAACCCCTAGTAGTATCACCTTTCATTCCTTCACCGTTTATCACATTAATTTGTATCTAATTTTTAGGCTCGGGCCCTTTGTGCTCAACTAGCAGATACTGAAAAAATCAGGTTCTTCGTTGGAACACAATCCTTAAAACAAGTAAATAACCAAATTCATTTAGTTGAGTTTGATGAAGAAAAATCAACATTAAAAACTTTGGTAACAGTCTAGTATACTAGGCACTGTTTGAAATATTAATCCATCCAAATTATCATAGGTATACCATCACTCAGATGGAGAAGTGTGGAAATTGAATGCGAGCCCAACTGATCCCTCTTTGATAGCATCATGCTACAATTCGGTCAACAAAGAAAACTTATGCACCATGAAAACGGCTATTTTAAAAATACCAGACATTTTTAACGACGATAACATTGATAATTTGGAAATAGTAACGAAATTTGATACCTCCGCTTTCGGAAATGATATAAAGACAACAGAGTTTCATCCCAATGATAGGACGAAAGCGGCATCTGTTACCGATAATCAAATTGTAGTATGGGATATATTGAGCGAGAATGCCCAAAACGTCTCGCATATCACGTTGGAAGGTAAAAATAGTCCAAAGTTTACAATGGGTAAATGGAATCCGCATCAAAACGGCAATCAGGTTTTATTTTATTCATCACGTACTTTGGTAATAAAGTGATTCTAATGTAGTTTGCGACTGCAACTGACACCCACTTGAAAACTTATGATATTCGAACGGGGTCTCTGGCATGGAATATCGATAATGTGCACAGTCAACTCACACGAGATATGGATTTTAATTTAAATAAACAGTACCACATTGCTACATGTGGTGACGATGGTTTTGTCAAAATTTGGGATTTTAGGCAAACTTCCATTCCAGTCTATTCGAGAACTGATCATTCACATTGGTAAGTTTGGGCGATTTAAAACGTACTTATTCATAATAACAGTTTTCCACTGAAAGATGCATAAAAGTGCAATGCATCTCTTACAGACTGACGCTACCTACGTACCTATCTATAAATTGGAGCAATACCATTCCACTCCCTCCCCAATCAATCTTTTAAACAGAGGAACATACTTACAGGCCTATCCTGACAGACTTGTACAAAAAGTTTCTTTAAAATTTAATATTTTTAAATGTCTTTGGCAACACTTTGTGAGTGAGAGTTAATTTGAGGGATATAATGAGTACAATTTTCTTCTGCATACTATAAAGCAAATATCCATCCCGTGAAGTAGTGAATTCTTGCAGGTACCTACTATAACTACACAGTGGACACTTTCGGGAGAACATTTTTCTGGAGATTTTTCTATAGGTACCTATTGTGCATGGCTCACAAAGTCTGTCAAACACAATCGTTGAAACTATTAAAAGGCACTGAGTGAAAACTGTGAATATAGCCTCAGATTTGTGACTTGCATAGGTACTATCATTGTTTAACTGTGTTTTCCCCTCAGTTTTCCCACTTTGAAGGTCTTTCCAGAAGACGTTTAAAGGTGTTGCAATTCCTTTAACTACATTTTGTTTCAAAATGGGTTTTTAAAAGTGGTGGTTTCATAGAGGCATTTCTCGAAGTATTTGATCGAATTTCAAAATAAACAACGCACTGTGGATTAAACTGATCTGAGCTTCCAGTCTAAGTGAAACCTAATTTGAAGTAGAATTCTTCATATATATGGTGTTATACGACAAAAACTGAACAAAAAGTTCCTCTACCAGTTTTCCATCAAACCGCTATTTTTCGAGGTACTGCGGTTTTAAAAATCTCCGCCCCCCCCCCTTCGCTGCGCCACTGGTTAAACTTAATAATTACCCATTTTTAACAACAAAAGAAGGTTCAAAATAAACTATAATTATGACAAGTACGTAATTACAACAGTTGTTCAAAATGTCCGCCGTCTGCTAGTAAACAAGCTTCAGCACGTCGAAAAAAAAAGTGCCGGTCTGATCAAAAACTGGTAGAGGAACTTTTTATTCAGTTTTCGTTGTATAACACCATCCCACGGTCCGTGTGCGCGAATTTCGAAACACCCTGTATTCCTTTTTTTTAGTTATAGACTCATTTGTCAGTGTTTCTGGGTTTTAGGGGAATTTTTCGAAAGGAATTATTCTTCGTATGTGAATATTTTGTCCGTCCGTCTGTCTGTTCTTCATCTAATAATACTTTTTATTTTCATCGACACATGATTGTAGTGCATAGGATGTGTCAAAAAATACATTACACGAGAACAAAAAGACACGACAATATCCTCGGCGATATCAAACCTTCGCCAATCGAGTTCAAGGATCAGCTATTGACTATGAGCCAGATTAAAAGTTGTGTTTCCGACTACGAGTAAAAAATAAGAGGAGAGAATATATCATATCACTTCTTTTGCGCTTGTCAGTTGTGTCCACTTGACTTATCATAAAACAGAAGAGAGGATGTCAGTTTTGTTTTATTACACCACTGCCAATAATGACGCGTTTCCCCCCATTCTTCTCGTACTCTTATAACTTCCTTTTTGTCCATTTCCGTCTCGTCCCCTTTTAATGCAAGGTTCTCTCCTTTTATTTTTTACTCGTAGGTTTCCGAATACGAATTGTCCAAAAATTCCCCTACTGAAAATTGTATGCGATTCCTCGTATCCTATTAATTTTTCCCTTGTTCTGCTCAATATCAAGACAATCAGGTAACAATAATGTCGTTTTTTGAGGATTTTACAAATCAAACAAAAGAAACAAACAAGTTTAAAAAGTCATTATGCAAACATAACTGACGAGAGCGTATTTTCCTCCTAATAATATTAATGCTGGGACCAGGAAAAAATACAGGCAAGCACGAGATCCTTACCGCATTCTCTTTCAAATGAGTCGCCTATCGTCGAAGTCTATACAGTTTAATGAAAAATAGTGGAGCATATACAAATACATACCAATTTTGAAATGGGCATTAGTTTTACATTTATTCGAAGTGTCTACATATGGAACTTTTTATAAATGCTTTCGTAAATAGCATTGCGCATTGTCTACATTAGAAATTTCATTGAATACCTTTATAAATAAAACATACAGCATGCGTTAACAGTAATTTTGAAACCGGTATTAATTTTAGTTTCATTCAAGGTGCTTACATATGATATTTTGTTTAACTGCAACTAACTAACAAATAAGAAAGTTGCCATTGCGCATGCGCAAAACCAAATTTTGCAATTGGTGTTAGATTTGTCTTCATGCCAAATGCCTTATGTATAAAATTTCATTTAAATGCCTTCATAAATAAAAAAAGTTGGCATTGCGCATGCGCAAAACAACATTTCTGAAAATGTCGTTAATTTTACTTATATTCGTAGTGTTTACATATAAAGTTTCAAAGTGAGGCAATACAAAAATCTATAATTATACAGTAAAAAAATGATATAAATACTCAAAAGGGAGAAGTGTGACGGACGACAAAGTGCAGCCCATAGCAATTTTTCACTTTCGAGAGGAAAATACTTTAAAAACTACCATTAAACGGCATATTTAAGCGCCATAACTCAGATTACTGGTGCGATCATCCTTTTTTTAAATTGAGTATCAAAATAAAGCTACAAGCATGGCGAGAGCTTTAGATGCGCAGTTTACTTGAATGTCTCCAGTGCCGTAGTCATGATAACGAGCATGATACTGTAATATAGTTCGATACGCTCAACTAACTGTCACTGAAGTAGGAATGTCAATCGACAAGTTTTCCCTGTCGATATCTTATTCGGTCTGCGCTGTTTTTTGGCATGCTATAGCGCGTTCCCTGTACCTATAGAAATAATGAATCCGTGAGTGTACCAAGCAAAAAATACAGTTTAATTTCCCAACTAAACTAAATTACACTTCTGATTTAAAATCACAATAAAACATAGTTTACTTCTCTAGCTAGAGTATAAAGTTCTAAGAATAGAAAATACACATACACAAACATTTATTGAAAATAGACATTCTGGCAAAATTAGTGTAAAATCGTTCAATCTTCATTTTAGGGTGTGGTGCGTTAGATTTAATCCTTTCCATGACCAACTCCTGCTAACAGCCAGTTCGGATGCTCGTGTCCTTCTCTCCAGTGCTGCTAGTGTCAGCTCAGAAAATAATGAAAGCATCATTCACGACGACCCATTGGAAAATCAAGATAATAAACAGATGTAAGTGTATCTAAATGAAGTTTGAAGTTAAATTTACCCATACTTTTTAGATTATCAGATGGCCCCCTTCAATGGTGCGAACACGAAGACAGCGTTTATTGCGCGGAATGGGCCCCTGCTGAACCATGGATATTTGCGTCACTTAGTTACGATGGCCGTCTTCTTATCTCGCGCGTTAAAAGATCTTTAAAGTATCAAATTATGTTGTAATGTTTAAGTTAAATTTATATGAAAGTGAAACCTTATTTAATGTCAAATTATAGAGTTAGCTAAATTAGTCTTTATTTTTATTAGCATCAAATTGCAATTTTTTAACAGAAAGATGTATAACAAAGATGATAAGAGCTGCATGTGGGTCCGGAGAAGCCTTATAAGTTTGGAGTTCTACATTAAGGGAAGGGATCAGTATGTAAGCATGTTACATGCACATCAGACTGTTTTAACTTATTAATCAAGGCGTTCCACGGGGTTTTTTTTTTATTTTTATTTTTTTTATTTTTATTTTTTTTATTTGTTTCCGTTATACATCATCGTGAAGTTTGAAATGTTTGGAGGTTTGGCGTTTTAGAGGTTTCAAGTTTTGGATTTGCAGGTTTTGAATTGAAGTTAACAGCCGGTATTATAAAGCATACTTATAATCTTTGAATATAGTAACTACCTTTGATTTCTGCATTTCTCGGCAATGCACTGGGTTTCAACACAACTTTTTTTTAATGCTTTCATGTTTCAGCAAGTTTCAGTTTGGGCTCATCGTCAGTGTATGAAATTCATAAAGAAATTCTTTTAACAGAATACATACATCGTTATTAAAGATGGGACCAAAGCTCTCACACTCAAACCGTTTGAGATATAGACATGAAAATTAGAACGCTTCTATTTTTAAACCAACTACCTCGCGACGTAGTAAGATTGCCCTCCAAAATATTCAAAATTAAAATGAAAACATTCTTAAACGAAAAATTTAGAATTGTCAATGGTATTCATCCGATTTCAACGTAAGTTATTCTTTAAATGTAATTGTCCCTTTGTTCTTTATCTCATTCAAACTTGACGTTTATAAAAAAAATGTTTTTGTCTTAACAACAATAAAGATTTTTATTATTATTACTTCACATATTTTGAGGTTAAAGTTTTTGTTGACACATGGTTTTTTGTGCGACCGCCATCTTGAATTTTTTTATGACATAGTTCATGTGATGCGTCTATAAAGAAAGCTCATTTTTTTCTCTCTCTTACTAGATAAACCCACCATTAGGCTTTTCTAATGCAATATCATTCGTAAACGCTAGAACAAAATAAAAATTGATGGTAAAGTGTAATAAACTGGGTAATGGTTTAGAAATAAATGTATGCAACTAAATTTTCAGAAGGACCAACAAACTATAGCTTTTAGAATGAGCGTGAGCGCATGTACAAATTTCAAGTCAATTTAATTAAGTCTAAGATGGTCAGCAACACTAGATACGGGGAAAAATCGTTTCACTCATCGACATACAATTCGAACATTAATTACATATTGGGGTACATGGAGAAGAGTAGAGGGTCAAGATGCTTCCCTGTGGTACTCTTAATTTTCTGTAATATATTTATTTTTCATATTTTTTTTTATACACTAGTAATTTCTACTCCTTCTTTTGATTTTTTGGAATTTATTAAGAATGTATTTTAAATCAAATCACCATATTTTAAGATATATTTAACCTCTCATCTACACGTTTTAATAGATAAAACATCACAAATACATCAGTTATATACATATTTTTGGTATGTAAATGCTGTAAAAAGAAATTAAAATAACTTACGGAATTGATATCAAGACGACTGTTTAGTTACCAAGATGAATAGCTAAATTACACTAAAAAGAAAACAATGTTTGCTCATTTACTAAATTGTATTTTTTTCAGCCGTTTGACAATTTTTATTGAAACACTACTCATCAATCCCTATACCAAGTATGTAAAAAAGTACTATACTTACAGAAGGAACACTTCTTTTTAATCACCTTTGTAATTGTAACACGTGATTTTACTTGAGCTCGGTTATGAACATAAGATTGCTAATGAACAGTCACACTGTGATTCTCTTTGTTGATAATAATCTGCTGCCGACTTCGGTTTTAATTTTATTACTGGATCCACAAGCTACATTAAATTTGCTTTTGAAAGTACTGCTACTAAAGGACAACCACAAAGTACAAAAAAAAAGCTGAAACAGTCTTATATGTTTGGCATAATTACATTTGACATAACAGAACAGATCTGATAATAGTTACAGCCATTTAATTTAAATTGGCAAACACATCATCGAGTTCACCATCTGTACCATTTACATTTGCCTTATCAATACCGTTCACAACGGCGTCGCTTTCGTTGCAATTAGATGCAGAGTTATCGGCGTCAGGTATTTTAACAATTCTTTCTGTGCCATTACTTTCAATTATTTGGTTCTCACCGAAACTCACCCTCTTAATGTTATTTTTCGGAAGAACTTTGCTTTCTATACTAGGTAACTCCTCATTGTACTTACTTAAATTATTATTATTATTATTGTGATTATAGCTATTCTTTAATACGCCCCCATTATTTACTCGTTTAGATAAAACTATGTAATTTAGCGGTATCAATCCGGCTTTTCCGTTACCAACGGCAAACGCCCAACCTGTGTTCGTCAATTTCATCTCCTCCTGAATGTAAGTCGGCGCCAATAGTAATTCGTCGTTGACTCTTAAACTAAGTTCGTTATGTGATGTGGCCCTAAAATCAAAGGCCGCTTTCACTTTTACGCCAGGCGTTTTCCATTTTTCCGGATTGTAACGATCTGAAAATAGAAACAATCAAATAAGTAAGCAAATAGTGATGTTTTCATTGAACGTTTAAAATATATTTCTGTTTCCCTAATTGTAAATGTGGTGAAAGATGAACATATTTTGCATACATACACAAAAATAAAAATGAGTCATTCAAGTGAATGCAGGGGACAGGGTCATTTTTCCTATACCATGTACTGTATTCCACTTATATTCCTATGTATACTGTGTACATAAAGTCAGGGAACGCTTTAACTTATTTATTGCAAAAGAATTCACAAATGTGCATATATCACATGTCATTTTGAAGAAGTGTACTCTGAAGATTTTTTTTGTCACGCTTGAAGTCACACTTTGAATGTGATTTTCCACTTTCACTTTGAAAGTACCCTGTTCCGACTTCCACCACATAGTATAACCTCTAAACCTATAACTTTCCTCTTGTGATTATCCTCAATATGGCGAAAAAGAGATCGCAAGGCAGCAGTGGATCAGGTTGGACATACAAAATGCAAACTATATTACATTTTTCAATTTTCCAAAAAAATTGGCAAAAATCGTCCTGTTAGCAATAAATAAAAACAAAAACTGTGCCCTGTACTCTAAAGGGATAATCAATCTGCCCCAAAATTTTATTCCACATATGGCTCCAAATAGTTGCGGATTTGAGAAAGAGGAGGTAGACAAAAGAAGTTCTATTTCAAATTTGAAGAATTTTATACACTGCTACTTGATCTTATCTGTAATTATTTACTGTAGTGATACATATATTGCCTCTATCTCATAGTCATTTTTACCTCCTATTTCCTTCCTTATCCTCATACATATCTATAGCAACCATCAATTGCTTGAACTTTGTACACAAAATATACAGGGTAAGTAAAAACATCCTCGCACAAGCCATTATCTCCATTAGTTATGAAGAAATTTTTTAAATAATTGGTGTGTATATCAAACTAGCACACCCAGCGAACTTTGTAAGGCCTATGGGTGATGCAACAGAAGTGTTACAACAGAAGCAGCAGCGGACAGAAGATAAAACATTTTTTGCAGAAGCGAAAGCAGGAGCGGAGGTGTAAATACTATTATAATTTGATGAACACTAGAATACTTAATTAGTCATAAAAATTTGGTATGAAATAAAACACACGAATTGTTGCGACAAACTAATGAGATGAATGAAAGTAAATAAAGGCAAACAAGTCACGGCAAGTCTGTCGGCTGGCTCAGCTGACAAACCCCGCCCGGGGCGCACGTCATCTGTCGTCCTGTTCGCCCAATCAAATAAAGCGCACAGCACACCTTGTCATATTTGAGAAATTCCGGCATACTTTCCTTATAAAATAGCAGAATCGAGGTGGACCGGAAAAATTCCAGTTGTGGAAGTGGAAGCAGAGGTCTGTTGCATTACTACCACCTGTCAGTCAATGTCTTGCTCTAGGATGGGACATAAGCGCACTTTCTCCGGCTGCGCCGTCTCACCTCACCTATTCAATAGGTAAATTTGGGCAAGTGACTATATGACTATAACATTGACAACTACTATCATGCAGTTAGATAAATTCCTGAAGACTAGGAAATAACTGTTAAGCGAATTTGTGTAATCCAGTATTTTCTTTTTCTTATGTTAATGATTGCAATAAATCCGAAAACACTTAACATTCCCGAAACAGTTGAAGATAGGTATAGGAAATATGTCTAAAATGTTTTGACGAATCCAAAAATTCATCAATGTACAATCAACATCGGATATAAAAACATTGAAACCGGTTGTCATTATAAGCGATATGCCTGGAGGAGTAGATACCTACATACATTACTTGAATCCTTAATATGAATGCATATTGTATCTTTGTTTCTTCATTTATAGTTGTTCCCAGTGACTGATAAGTGCTGTCACATCTTGGCAAATTGTGGTACATAAAACAATGTTGCGCTACCAGCGGCGCCAGTCTGCAGCGCATCAAAAACCCCTCCTGAGAAGGGACTCTATGACTTTTCCTACCAGCTGTCATTTTACCAGACTCCTGCTATTACCGACTATGTAAAAGACTATTAAGACCTGATGCACACGTCAGGTCTTTAAATGTACGGCGCCGTTGCGTAAACGAACCGGCAACATACAATTTAATGCACACATCTGTGATAAAGACAAGAAAAAACACGTAATGTGCTTATATTTATAAAAAAATTAATCTTAAAAGCAGAACAGGTGACACTGGCTTCACCCATTTACTGATTCATTATAAACATGATATCTTTTCGACTTCACCAATAAATACTTCTAGATTAAACTCTTCATTTTCACCCATTCTATCCGGTTGATAGATAACAAGCATTGAAAGGACAGAGGTGTGACCGCAGCGCCGTCGCGTTGATGACGGTACGAACTGGACGTTCCGTGCACGTACGGTATGCCGCATATGCGTACGATACCAGCAGTGCTGTATGTTTAAAAACCGGCCGTGTAATAGTTATTTATTATATCAGACAATAAAGGAATATTTTAACCATTGAGTGATTAACTTTCACGAGATGGTTAGTTTCCCTTTTATCGTCGTGTATAATACAAAACTTTACTTTATAGCAGGATCCAATTCTGAATTTAATTAAGACGTGAAAAATAGCAAGTTTAGGTTTTGCCGTCGCGGTCGTTTCCATAGAAACAGCATTTTCATATTTTATGAACGTCACTTTGTATCGTGCTCCGTGTCCCATTTGAAATAAGAATGACAGATGTCATTAGAATACATAATCATCTGTTTCAATTTATCTACTCTTGCGGTTAAAGTGATCACTTCCTCTACCCTCACAGATAAGAACCTACTCATTCAACCTATTAAAATTTAACATCTGGTATACAATAAAAATAATTTGCAACAGTTACAGTACATTTTTTAAAGTAATCTGTTATTTTTGTCTTTTTTTTCTTAATCCGAGTCAAATATCTTTTATGTGTTATTTTCATCAAGATTTCTTGGATAACATCAGAATTAAACTCTTCTTCAAAAGTGAATATTATTAATAGCCTCGCATATTGTTAGTTCTTCTTGGTCTTCGTTCCCTTCATCAGTGGTGTGATTAGTGCTTTTGACTTTTGATAATATCTCCTTCTCAGTAACTGGGCCACACATGGCAACATTGGTATCTATTCCTATGAGCTCCTTTATTTCAATTCTTGGTTCTGTGGCTAACTGAGCAGCCCATTGAAGTAGAGGTACGTCGTCATATTCATCCATCTTACAAGCGGAATTAAGTGACCAAAAATGTAAATTTTCTATACAAGGCCCTGCAACAGTGCGTCAGTCTTTCGTATATCGTACCTCATAACAAATATAAAACAACGGTGTATGCAAATGTCAACTATAGAAATTATTTTTGAAGGTACAGGGTGTCATATTTTTATGGTGTCAATAAGTAACCTTTTTTAAAATAAAACACCTTGTTTATTTTTATCTGTTTCGATGTCATTTGAACGCTATTCACTTTTTGATTTTTGGCCAATGTTGCCATCTTATTAATTTTTTCCCGTAGATTTAGTTGATCAATGTTAACGTTTTGGCTTAAGCATGTAGTACTTAATCAGGTTATATAGCTATGATATATTTTAATCACTTGTACTGCCTCCTAATGGTGGCAAAATATGAACATCAGTATATGTGTAGGTACCTCTAATGGCAATGTATAAATAAGCAAAACCCACCATTCTACGATCATTCGCAATGTTTACCTTGTGCGAGATACTTCACCCTTGTTTGAAATAATATCACACTAAGCAATAATAACACTTGGCTTACAGAACAACCCATTTTATATCAAAAATAATTTTTTAAAATCTAGACTAAAGAAGTATGCAAAAATGTTCAAAAGATTAATATTGTTATTAAAAGATTAGGTAATGCCATGCATAGTACAATTTTAATATGTTTTTAAGCAACTGATCAAAGATGTGAAAATTGGTCACATAAGCACATGTTTCTAGTTTGCCATTTCATATGTATAAAATTTGGAACAATCATTTTTTCAATTCAGTATGTTATAACACAGGATTCTGAAAGTGTAACCGCTCTTTGTAGCTAATCTACCTACCCATTTGGAACAAATGGAATTATTTTATTACCTTCACATTTTGGTAACAAGAATTTGCTGATCAAATATGGAGCAGAAACAATCACACCAAAAAAGGCGACAATGGGCCAGTTAAATCCACCGCCGGCTGGATTGGAGCTTGGATCTTTGACGTAAGCCTCCTTCCACGCCTTATTTGCCGCGTTATCCATCACCTTATATCCCATAAGTACCATTAACTTTCTATACAGCCACCTGAATAGTCTGAAGATGTTTAGTGAATACCATATATGACCAAATAAGGTTCGTAAACGTCCAAAATTGTCTGCTACACTCAGTATGGCACGGAAGGAGCTTGTCATTGCAAACAGTGTATTGTCCAACATCATTGATATACTACTCACGGCGCGCACCACACTTTCAACACTTGCGAATGTATTCCTAGAACTTTCTTCTGCGAATTGGATAAACCTAAAAAAATGACACAGTGAGATTAAATTATTTAAAAAAGTTCCGATTAACAAAAACCCAGATAGTAATTAAATTAACCAATGCATTACCATATCTACATATCAACCGACAAGGTCAAGGTACCTATTTTTTTTAGTTTCTTGACCGCTCACACGTCAGAGACCAAAATCTCAACTGGAAATGAACAATTACAACAATAAAATCAAGCTTTTATTACAACATTTATTTGCTTCCAAACTATATAAGTTATTTATGTAATAAAAAATGATAAGCTAGTTATAAAAACTTTACATGCATATCTGTACTTTTGGTATTGCAACCACTTGCCAGTATTTCCATGATTTTGTTTTGCATTAATGCTTAAATGTTTGTAAAGGAAGTAAAGGTCGCTTACCTCTACTAACTCTTTTACGTTTCGGAAATAAGGGCCATTATAAAAAGTTAATGTGAGGTTATCAGTTACCGACGATATTCTGTTAAAGATTATATGTTAAGCAAATATTCTATACAAAATTTATGTGCATTTCATGGTCAAAGATCACAAAAATGAAATAAAGAAACAAGGTCTGCATAATTTCAGAGGCAGATTTTGCTCATATATAATGATGAAAACTTGAAACATTTGAAAGCAAAATAGGGAGATCTTATGAATGATTGAAATCAAAGGTCTTCTTTTTTAAGTTCATTAATAAGTTGCTGAGAATGTTTCCACATATCTTAAGAACATCTATGGCTTATTAATAAAAAAACGAGTCGTATTAAAAATGCTATTGTACAGAGTGAAGTTTAAAAAAGTTTCATTGAGTATAATTGTATTTCTTATTAGAGATATCACAAAATACCCACATCAGTTTGGGCGCCATTACGGCGCACAAGGTCGGAAATAAAATACTAATAATTTTTTCAAATGTAAATTATACACCGTCTATTGTCGGCGCAAAAGTAAGAAGTATTAATGTAATGTATTAAAAAAATACCCATTTGGCAGATCACAACGGACTGTAGCGGCCATAAGTTTATCACAATATAGTTTGTCGGCAATAACTTTTCATGGTATTACCATAGAATTATCAATGGTAATAAATAATTTAAAAAAAAAATGAAACATCCCTATAACAAATAGTGGCTGACTGACTCGAATTGTTTTTCATAGCACTCTAAATAACATAATATTTTATTGCCAACCATAGTTAATGCTAGTGTTACAATGGGCGCGTTCATAAGACACAACTGTTGTGGAACAGTTACCGATACGATAATTACGTCGCTACTTTTACGCTCTTTATGGAGCAGTCGACCATTTTTAGTAGCGCTACACATGTCAAAGTAGGGAAGGTGACATAAAACCCCAACTGTTACCGATAATAACTGTTGTGTCTTATGAACGAGCCCAATGAAAAAAATCAAATTTTGATAAATTTTTGGCCGCTACTGTAGTATCAAATAAAAACCTGTTAAGTAAATCTACATTTTAATACCAATTTTTGAGTGCGAATGATACATTTTCTATTCGGTTATCCACTATACAGGCTGATTCAAATTCGAGGGCCACCATGGGGATCTCAAGAACAGGTAAGAAATAGGTACGTAATTTAATTTAGCAAAGTTGCGTATTTTGATGCTTAACAAAACGCAGTTTTGAAACTGAAAAAAAAAACGAAATTTTGCAAAATCGTTTTTATTTTTTACTGAAGTTATTTAAAAAGATATTTCGAAATAAATGACGCATTATTATGGCCATTTTTTTCCCTGTACAATATGCTAGCTTTAAATTTTGAATCTGACGTTTGTGCAATTGAACGTTACGTTTATCCTGTTATACTCGCACTGTAAGCATAACCCATAGTCGATCAAAATTTTGCTTTTGCTAGTTTAGAGTTATTTGAATGATTGCTTCTATGTCAGATGTCAGCATTGCTATTTCGCAATATTTTATGTGCAGCGCTATTCACTACTCCTTCTATTTGTTTGTGTTATTTGCCACAGATTTGCAGGACGCGGCCTTCTGAATTCAGACGACCGCTGCGACCAGAATTCAAAGGTAATTTTTATTTTTCGTCGACTCCTTGATTAACGTTTGATTACATACTATTTTTAAATATGATCGAATTGTAATTGTAGTACAGTGCAATTAGACCCAAACCTGAACATCCAAAGTAAAAGTTTTCCTCCAACTGCAAATTGTTCTATACAGTCCACATATTGTTGGGTAGAAAGTTACACCATTTTAAGCGTCGGGTTTGGGTGGGAGGGGGGAGGAAAGTTAGAAAATTAGTAGTTTTGATTCGTTTTTCTGACATATTTAGAAAACTATGTGGTTTAGTGCGAAAAGTGCCGTATACAAAAATAATCTACAGTAAATTGCGAACAAAAATGCCCTCGTATATAATCTTGCTAAATTGAACCGTTCCAGACTTACGGAGGGTGTAACAGTAGAAATTTTTCATCATTTTTTTTAGATTCTTTTGGAAAAAAATGGGATTATCACTAAGGAAATTAATTTTTTTGTTAAAACAAATTGCGCTTTAGTGACCGGTGGTATGTTACTTGATAAGTCCTTGAAGGAATGAAAACTTACCACCTTCTCAAGGGGGGCCATTTTTTAAACAGACTTCCACTATGAGGGACAGTAATTCCTGGAGAGTTGCAGGATGTGTTGTTATTGTTCTCAGGTGTTCGACAATCTTCCATGCCCACTTCAGCGAGTTCATGCAGCCACTGTTACATCTAATGGTAGGTTCTAATGAATGTTCTGCCTGGTAGCTGCCGAAGTTTGGAGAAGCGCAGCCAGCTTGAACAGTGAATGTATTGGATGCTTTGAAATAGCCTGCAACTAACACTAGTAACGAAAACAAACCAGATCTTCAGTGTTTTTTACTTCAAACATAATTTCATTTTTCCAAAAAATCAAAAAAATACGTAAAATGTCTACTTTTACAATCTCTGTAACTCTGGAATCGTTCACTTCAGCAAGATTATACACCAGACCATTTTTATTCGCAATTTAATGTAGATTATTTTTGGATATCATACTTTTCTCGCCAAATCCCATACTTTTCTAAATATTTAAGAAAAACTCCAAAAACTACTAATTTACCAACTTTCCTCCCTCCTCCCATTCAAACCCGACGCTTAAAATGGTGTAACTTTTTACCAAACAATATGTGGACTGTATACAACAATTTGCAGTTGATGGGAAACTTTTACTTTGGATGTTGAGGTTAAGCCGTTTTTTCGACTAATTGCACCGTACTATTATTACATTTGCTTGATATTGATTTAACGATTATAGCCCCGGTGTTTACAGCGGAAGCCTGTTTTGATATTATTTTCTTTGACTACGTGTTGATCCTCTTTTTATTAATCTGAATTTAAACATTGGCATGCACATCTATTTATTAAGATTCCACTAGATAAAGTGTGATACAGTGGCCCAATGCACTCTGTCCGTTTCTTACGTCGACCACGACACTGCTCACAAGTATTTACCACAGAAAATTTGAAACCATTCCGATCAGTAATTTTTGAAATATAAGAGTTTAAAAATACTCCCCTCGCATGATACGTCAAGGTCTCCGACGACCTGTCCGCTGCTGAGTCTGTTGCATAACGGCACGTGCTTTTCTAACGCAGCAGCGTAGATTGTATTTATATTTTTGTATGTATTACATAAGTTAGTAGTTACCTTCTGTTTTAATTTCAATGTATAATGTGTGAACAAGGCTATATAAAGCCCATTTGTCTAGTCTACCAATGGTACATTTAATTATGGTTATGGATTTTTTCAATACTAATCACTAGTTTGTAAGCTTCAAGATGGCTCTCAATATTATTTAGTCTGAGCAAATGGGGGTACAATCGCATGCACCAAGGTTGTAGACTTGGAAACCCAGTGCTCACGTAGAATCACTAATGACTTTTGTGTTAAAAGTGATTTATTTCTACGTTCCCTCCAGTTTATATACAATAGTATATAAATATTATATACCGTGGGACTGAAGTAGTACTTTTGCTTTTGTGTTTGTTGTTTTGAGAATCCCTATTGGACATATTTTCCAATGCAATGAGAAAGTGTGTTTTATTTTTTTGCATCTCTTCATCAGAAACAAAAACGATATCGGCAAATTTCGGTTTTTCTGGCATATCTTCGGAAGTAATCGGAATTTTCCAGGTTTCTTTAAAGCATGATAATAACTTTTTAATTGCGCAGCTTTTCTCTAATTTGACCATGGTCGTATCTTCTATGATTTCAGAGATCCCTGTAATAGACATCCTTATCTTGGACACAGTTTATACTGTTGCTCAATAGAGGGCACTTTTAAGTATACCTAAATAGTATACTTGTGCTACCCATGAAATGCGTAAGGTTAGCAATCTGTTGTTTGCGTATATCTGTGCTATTACTATAATCTGCTAAACAAATAAAGCACAGTAACTGAGTAACTATTAAATTAGGTAAGAACATTTATCACTCAAACTTCTAAAAACTCAAACCAAATAGTGCAAGTGCATGCATATTTTTGTCTGCTTATGTTTATACACTTATGTCATAGAAGGGCACCGAAGGCTTTTGATATATTTTATATTTGGGGCCACATTTTATCTACTGACTTTAATTTGACAGCCTGATGGCACGCCACCTCACTAACCACTAGAACTAAATTTGGACTGGACACTATGTACCAAATGGTGCTCATATTAAACACTCTTAAAACTTGTAATAAATACTTACAAAGCCTTAAAATCACGATATTCTGTACAATCAACGATGAATTCCATTTCAAATGACTATTAAGGTACAAAGATAGTGAGAACTAAACATCAACAATATAGAGATAACAATATAATCGATGCATTATTTGTTTACAAACATCGACATTTATTATAAAAAAGTTGAAACCACATTTATACTTTGTTGAATCATACTCTAGATCAGTGGTTCTCAAAGTTGATTGCACTCCGACCCATTTAATAAACATTTCCAGTCTTGAAACTCACCTTTTAGCTGTCTTAGAGAAAAGAGGGCATACATATTGGTAATGCTCAGATTCTCTAGTGGCGAATCGCCCGGTAGGGCCAATTCAATATTCGTTCGGGGGTCGCGACTCATAATTTGGGAAATACGGCTCTAGAAAAACATTTAGACCGATATCCACTTGAATAGATGCTATGCACCTTCATACATTTGACTATTAGGTGAAGAGGGTAGAAACTAGAAATTATGCATGATGCAGATTAAATTTTAGTTTACTCTAACCGATGTTAATAATCCGAACGATAAACAATTTATTTTGAACCATTATGTCTTTCGTTTGCAACTCGTCGTGGAATTTTAATGGAAGTATTGCTTGTAACGGATGAAATAATCTGTTGTATTTCTTCCTTACTTATAATGTTGAGCGTAGGTACAGTATGATAGAGCTATTGCGATTGTGTATGGATTGATCGGCCAATAATAATATGATGTAAAGTATTTGCAAACTAGACTTTGTTCACATTATGTGTGTATCAGGTATCTTAAAATAAACTTGAGAGATAAATATTTTGTGCGTCACTTCCAGATCAAATAGTTTTAGGTACACATTTGCAGACATTTGTATATTGTTGAGGCTATTTGTGTCCTACCAATTTTTTTCATATGAAAACACATTTCTACAGTTCCAGTAATTATAAAAACTGTAATTTTAACAATTTTCTGCCGTATACACAAGGATACGCGGCGATCGTCATAACTGGAAAGTTTCCACGCACCGTGAAAGAGCTCATGCAGGGAGCCCTTGAACAGGTAGGTAAGTGAGGCAGTAGCCTCTCCGTTAACATTTATTTTCTTCACTACAAAACATTATCAGTGTTTAGGGCTTATTATTTCTTGAAAGATCCCTGTAACTTTTCAAAGCAATTTAATAGATAGCTCCATCTATTGTTGGAATTTTAACCACGCAATTTTACCGCGTAGTGGGGCATATAAAAAATGCAGTTGATGATGATTTCTCTATCAAGCATGTGGTCTGTCACTGTGACGCTTTGGTCAGAGACATATATCAACTCCTTGGCGACAGTTATCTGAAATTAGGCAGGGTGAAGCAACTTAGGCTATGGGATTCTATCCTTTATTGCGACGAGTGGGCTCTGAACCTAGTTGCGAAAGAAAAGGAGGCACAATGGGCCTTTGCTGTGTCTAAGTGCTGTCTGGTCGGGCTTCTCTTATGAGTAGAATAGAATAGAATGAATGGGAATCTGATTGTGGATTATCCAACTTCAAGCTTTATGTATTGTATTGTGTCTCAACTCACATCCAGTTAGCTGTAATTGTCCTTGAAGACTCACAACAAAGTCTTCTGACATAATGACCAATCAATACTAGGTACCTATTTCATTCATTTAAACAAATACAGTGACACTTTTTAAAAAAACTTCAAGTGATAGGGGTTTACTACCACAGTAGCAACTTAAAAAATCTTTGCCACATTTACATTGTCAAATTTGAAAAATAATCTAATCGAATATAATAATCTCTTTAGTAAATAATTCAGTCAATACGTAAACTGCGGGTAGAGACTCCATAAACAAAAGCTTAAACCCAAAACATTCTGTAACACACTGCAATTGATTTGTCGTTAATTCACTTCTAGAAAGCACAAAAAGATCACGAATACAAATATAATAAATAAATACAATTTACTTAGGAAAAAAACTATGGGTATTGATAAACCAAACCGTACGACAGTACGCCGCTGGTAGAGAAAAATCATGTAAGCTATACGGATGCTACCGCAAATAAAGGTGAGTAAAAAGCGGTACCGCCGAGTGTTAAAATTTTAAGTCCAAAAGATCTAAATTAACAGACTTCTGCTACAAAATACTATAATGAATTTGAAAATAATAACTAAATTAATAAAAAGGGTACACTTACATTGCTTTTGCCCACGCACAAGTTGCAACACTACTTTTAAAAGTGGTACCTGTTACTATCCACAGACATGTGTTGGAATGTAATTTATGCAGATATAAAAGCATACATTAAATTAAAAATAAGAAAGTTACGGAAGAAGTTTGGCGCAACAAAAATACTATTTATACATTCAGGCCTTTTTAGGTTAACGTACATTTTGTCTCCCCAATTAACAATGTTCAACAGCATTGCACACTTTTTTCCAGTAAAAAAATATTTTTTTGGTATTAGGTCAATGTGAAGCAATATATTAAAAAATAATCCGATGGTTAACTGCTAGATTTAAAAATATGGAAGAAGGAATTTGTAAAATTAGCAGTACTGATATTGAAAGGTTTGTGACCCCCTTAACGGAGGTGCGAAAAATTCTGGAATTTTGGAAATACAGTCTGAACAGGACGATACTGCGTACAAACGTGTTTTTTGAAAATTTGAAAAAACATTTCTACTGCAATTCTTCATCTGGGAATGAGAAAGAGATACTGACGCACAGGGCGCAGTTCGTAAAAAATTGCATCACTGCAATATGCAATGTACTCCTACACCTACATAATAGTAAACAACTGGGGTAGGCCTACAGTCGATTGGAGCACGCAAGATCACTCTTTGATAACTGTGAAAGGAACTGTTGAATACAGTTTTACAGGTTTATTTTAATGAGTTTTTAGCGCATTTCAATCAAAATTGCTATTCTCTAAGTTTTATCAATTTGTTTTCATCATAAAGGCAAGATGCCAAACCGTCAGGAGGTAAACCTCCGCTTAACCGAAAACCTATTCAACGACGTGTCACCCATCTTTGTAACTCTTATGGTTTAGAATAAAAAGGAAAGAAGAAATCCAAATTTGACCACTTCTTTGGGGGTGGCTCCCAAACGAAACACGTTGGACCCTCGGTTTATTTGGCAAAAGTGCTTGTCTTGATCCCCTCCAACATCCAATTTTTTTTTTACATGCGGTCATGTAACACCCTGTATAGTCACACTAAAATTGACCAAGGAATTCAAATAGGCAATAATCTACAGGGAGTTCTATTAAAAAAATGCAACTTCGATATAAATCACCCTGTATAATGCCGTTTAAAATATCTTTAAGTCTTAAAGATCCTTCAACATCCCCCAACAATGAATTATTAATGTATGTGTTCATAAACGTACAATCTTCCACCCACGTACTAATCGCTCACCCTGTATAAAACAATAGTCACCTCGAGAATCATGTTTTAAAGATCTCAAATCAGGCAGAAAACACATTTACATATAAGCAGTGGCGGCTGGTGGGCTTTCTATTTGGAGGGGCGCTGAGTAAAACCTCGACATGTATAAACAAGTATAAGTTAAAGCACATTTTTTAACCGAAATAGCTTTTGTTTTGACATCACCAAAGGATATATTTCTTGCAGACGTCTCAATCGCCCTTTGCGAGTACCCTCTTCCGACAATCCGTTCTTGAGATATAAGGGAATATACCCGATCACGATAAGAGGTCGAGGAGGAGGGCTATGGTTGCTAGAAATTAATTCCTTTCGTTGATACCTTTCATTAGAGTACCATGAAGGATACAACTAGTCCCCCCCCCCTCCCCACGTACTTTTATAAAAGGACAGAAAGAAGGGCAGTAGTTGGTAGAAAACGATTCCTTTCGTTAACACCTTTCATTAGAATACCATGAAAAGTAGAACATGTGTTCCCCCCCCCGCCATTTTCTAAAGTTTAACTTGCCACCACTAAAGGAATGCGTATGCAAAATCTGAGACCAATTTGTTGCCGTATCTAAAAGTTATGCACGTTTTACTTTCAAAAACAACATCTCAGGAAATAATTCGTGGGGAGGTCCCCCTTTTAGACAGCGAAGTTTAATGGCCATCTGGCACACCTTCAAAGTATAGGCTCCCTACTGCAAAAAATTCCAGGACTCTTAAGACCATTCCCCTAGAAGTAGTTCAAAACGGCAGAAGTGGGTCCGAACGGACGGACGAACAAACCGCAAACAATAGCACATTTTTTTTAATTCTTAAAAAATGCGCTAAAAACAACAGTTTATTTTTACATGCTTACAATTTTTGTACATTTTGAAATAGAATTCCAACGCTGGAAAAATTGGACTAACTATTAATCTAGCCCCTAAAAGAATTTCATTGACAATAGAAAAAAAATTCACTTCGAAATGAGATCATTGTGCTTAATTCTTAGCTGTTTTAGGCACATACAGACTGACGCAATCAACTTTCCTAAGCCATTAAATGGTCATCACATCATACACATGTAAACCGGTGACATAATAAATAAAAATCGCTAACTTTATTAAGAACCTACGAGCTATACAATTTTGTTTGAAACTGACCGTATGATGAGAACACCCTGTATACTCCCTAATACCTATGTCTCTATAATTTGAGACACTTTAAAAAATGTGGAGAATGAAGTAAATTCATCTATGCCCAACTTCTCTTTTAAAACAGCTCACTTTCGACTAAATAACACAAAGATACAGACTTGCCGGTTGTCTCATTCTTTATATAAATACATAGCTATTTATTGTCGATGGTCTGAAACTCTTTATGAATGTACCTAAATAGTACTGAACCGAAATGAATAAAATTTATCATGTTTTTTTCACATATGCGAAATTGTTGTTGCACGGTACATGAACTACATAAGAGGGTTGTTTGTAGGTATAGATATGCAAGTAAACATGACACCTACCTTCGTTCTGAATCATCTCTTGGTCCATAACTGGAATAATTATCTAAACCATACATTCCATGATTTCCATAGCCATAGGAGTTTCCATAACCATAGGAATTATACATCGGGCTTTGGTAGCCCATCGAACTGTAACCACTTCCATACCCATAACCTACAGTCACATTAACAAATAAAAATCATATTAATAAAGTATTTACCAGAATACGGCATATGACCATAATTGCTAATCGGTAAAGAGTAATTTCCAGTTACGGGCTTCGGTGGTAAAACGGGCACGTTCCTTGAGGATCCAATTTGTGGAATTGCGGGGTTTGGGTTTGAACTTCTCAGGACGGGAGTCTCATTGATGTCGGAATTAGTTGAAGTCATCATTAATAACTAATACCATTAAACATTAAATAAATTCTCATTTTAAAAGTTAATAAAAATAGTAATAAAGTTTGATTTGACACTTGGATCTCTTGAACTCACATCACATTTAAAAAGTAAAAGTACGCAAAAACAAATGACAGATGGAAAGTTTAATTTTTGACAAAATCATCACACTGCCGTTAGGCAATTACGGTAAATCGACCAGGTGGTATCAATATACAGTGTGGTGCAACAAATGAATGTGTTTATTAGCATTTATACAATGTTATTAGCATTGATTATACAATCAATGTTATTAGTTACGGCGGACCACTCTGGGGCCTTTCACCACCATTAGGCGGGCGGCAAAATGACCTGGTTGTTTGTATGTATCCATCAAGTGACACGCGGGCTGCGTTTGAAAAGGAACCGCTTTCTGTCCGTACCGCATGCGGGAAAAATATTTTGTGCGGTCAGTGAAAAAATTTGTTATCCACTTGCATACATTTACTGCTTTCCATTTGAGTGAAAGAGGAGCTCTAAGCTGTACCGTGCACGATGCCCTGTGTTCCTTTTAAGAAAGCTTCGAGCTCTGACACGCCCGAAATTGGATTTCCCTTGTCCCCTCATGCACCACCTATTTGCTTGGGGCTTGTAACACTTTTGTGGTTATTTGGTTTCAATGATTCTACTTTGTTTGCTGTCCGTCTACCATGAGCACCATAAAAGGCCCCATACACGGTATGATCGATCTGTTCGATCCGTCGTTTCAGACCGATCGAAACGATGAATCGATAGTGTATGTCAAGATCGTTAACGATTTACTTCATCGAATGGGATATCAGACATCGCAACAAAAACGCATACAATCGTGAATATCGTAACGATGAATCGACAGTGTATGGCTCATTGCGATCAACGATTCGACAGGGCACGTATGACGTATTAAATTATTTAATCACGATGGTTCGGTTGTAACCGATCGATCGTAACGACCAATCGTTTCGTGTGTGTGTGGTAAGCTTTGTGCGATCTATCGTCACGATATCGCTTCAAATCGATCGTGATGACGGATCGTTCCGTATATGGGTTCTGGAGTGTGGCGTGCGGAGTGACGAGCCAATGTTCGGCGTATAGTCGAAGACCTCGCGTCGTGTTTGCTTTGGAGTATACAAAGTTTGTCACCTATCGATGCGATAGGACACGCCACGCGAAACTCGTCGCGCCGCCCTCATCAAACGGCGTGTGGCGCAACACTTTACACTCCAGGCGTGACACTTCACACGCCGTCAACCCCCCCGTGGTTTGAACACTCAGAACACAGGTTACACACTAGGTACATGGTTTTGAAATAAATATTTTTCGCTCAGTTCTTTCATATGATTGAACATCGACATCATTATTTTTATTCCGTCAAAGGGACGGCAAATTATGATGCAGCGCTGGGCGATCACAACAACACAAACAATGGCCCACGCTACGCAACGGCTCGTGCTTGTGAGGTCGTACCATTGAATCAAAACCACATTTTATTCAATGACTTTACTAATAAAATACTGATCTGTATTACCAAAAATGCGCTTTTATCATGCATAGGTGTGCCGATTCACAACTTTTTTTGTAAAACGTGTTTCACCACGAACTTATAAATTAAGATATAAGTTCGTGTATTTCACTGATGATACTAAAGTATTTATAATAAACAAAGTTTACAGCGAAAATAGTTACTCTAGTACGCGATATTTGTTTTCCGTGCATTCCCATTCCCTCTGTGTCGAAAGCTATTTCAATTTCCATGATTGGGCAAATTAGATTTATTGCCGAATTTTTGATAAAATAATGAGAAATATACCTGAAAATGAACTAATCCGTATATCATTAGATGAGAAAAAAAATCTTTTGATTGGTGTCATTAATTTATAAAAAACCCTGGAAGTTAACATGGAGAGCAACGATCTGAAAAAACGTTTTTCACATTTTAATTGCCCCCAAAATACAAGGTGTTGTTGCATATGTTCCACTACGTTGTATATCGCCGTAGAGATTTTTCAGAGTAGGTACAAATGTCAATTTGAACTCCATATTAATGTCACTATAATTTTGAGGGTGTAACTGGTGTTTAACAAATCTCCGCCCACATCCACCAACAAGTAAAAAGGTTTTCGCCCTAAGGCGAGTAACTTCAGTGCATTTTCCATAAATTGATCAATACTTCCACAAAGGCCATACCTATGTGCGCTATGTTTTTCATTACTAGAGGCATCTATGGTTAAAATGTTAAAGAAATATCTTCATAAACAAGGGAGTTGACACTTACTGCGCAGTTGATATTGCGCGTCTTGCGCATGCGCTTATTAATCTGATATTTACAATATGTAATACGTTTGCTTTTACTATAAGCATCTTTGGTTAAAATTTCAAAGAAATATCTCCATAAATAAGAAAGTTGGCATTGCGCGGTCTGCGCATGCGCACATCTGATTTTTACTATATGCGATATATTTGCCTTTACTACAAGAATCTGTGATTAAAATTTCAACAAAATATATCAATAAATAAAAAAGTTAACATTGCGCAGCCTGCGCATGCGCAGTTCAATCGTCAAGATTTTCCTTGACTCAGGTGCCAGAGCGATACGTTATCGAATGCAAAAAGAACGAACAAAATATCTTGAAAACTGTAGGAGTAGTTAAGGCCTCGGACAGACGGACGGACAGAGAAAGTGGCTGCAATAGCGCACCCAACCCAACTTCGTTGGAAAATGCGCTAAAAATGCGGAGTTAAAATTGGCATTGTGTAGGTACTCTGAAAAATTTCTACGTCTACGGCAGTATACAACGTAGTGGAGCATATGCAACACCTTGTGTTTTAGTTGTTGTTCGCCTATGTCAAGTACAACTTCAATTCCTACTACGTTACAGAATGCAGACAGAATGACGTTTATCTGTATAATGGTACAGAATGTAAATACGCCACCCGGTATAGTTTAATTATGCCAATTTGTAAACAGCTTTGAACATAAACTTATATAATCAAAAAAAGTTAACAGCTGGTTACTTTAGTATTAACGATTACAATAATGATTAATAATTACGATTACCTCTGAGAAAGGTAATTAAATTACAACACGATTACAGTAGGTATTTTATAGTATATTAAGTATGGAGAACGGTAAGGGATTTTTACCGTTCGAAGACAATTGTTTGGAGGAGGAGCGAAGCGACGACTCCAATTATTGTCTGAGAACGGTAACCCTTACCGTTCGACGTGCTTATAACATTTTTTGCGCGATCGAAATTAAAATTATGCAACCAATATAAATATGCACTAAGAAATTAACGAGCAGAATAAATCGAAATGATCGAAGTGGTATGGTGTCAATCACTAGGTAACCAGTTTATTTGTCAAAATTGAAATTAATAATTTCATAAAAATGTGCATGTGTCTGATGTAGTTTACTAGCTTTGTACTTCCTTTATGACTTTATGAGCGTCTTGCTATAGGAAACAACAGCACAAATTGTACGTTTAATGTACCTAACAATAATTAAAGATTAAATGTAATGTAAGACTGTTGATTTTTAAAAAGGCGTCGGTAAGAATTTTTGCTGTTCTGTTTTTAGATCGGTAAGTAATTTTGACGTCGTCGTAATCATAGCAACTGGTAAATTCTACGTACTGTCATGGAAACACCCATGGTAAATAGTCAGAAATGACCGATCGCGCAAAAAAACTATTTAGTCCTGATAACTGATTACATTACACAAATAGTAATTACTAGTGAGTCATTAGATATTGTAACTAATAAAATACAATTGTATACGAATTTCGCAGCTTTGGGGATGGATAAATGCTACCACGTTCTTACGACTGACCGCTACTTAATAGATCAGTGGTTCTTCTCACTCATAAGTCATAAACAAAAGTGTTTTATTTATGGGTTCTTTCCATTTTCATGGTTCTTCTCATGATCTTTGGTAGACTGTAATTCAAGACTATCAAATGGTTCTCGGATTTAACGGATGGTGGCGCCACTAACAATTTAGACACTTGATGTTCCGTTGTATATTGAATATGACATCGAGCAAAATGCTGACAAAGCATACTTACCTGGCGTAGGGGTTACCGTGATCAATAAGGCGGTTCCCCCAGGATGAGGCCCTTTCATTGCACTACGATCGGGCTGAAACCTGCGATTATCCCTAATGTGGATAACTCGGGCGCGTAATTTTTGGTAGTCGGGACTGCGTACGCGCTGTCCCGGTTTTTATTAAAATAAACGAAGTTATTGGCCCGTATGAATAAAAGTAAGCAAATGCTTATACTTGCAAAATTCAAAGTAAATACTCGTAAGTGCTCCTTCGCACTGGGCGACTTAGCAGCGCTGCTAAGCAGCAGGACAGGACGCAGTGCAGCGCTGCTAAACCATGCTAAACAGACCAGTATGAAGGGGCAGTTACGAGTATTTACTTTGAGTTTTGCAAGTATAAGCATTTGCTTACTTTTATTCATACGGCCCATTGTTTAAATATAGTATATTAAGATACAAGTGTATAATCAAGTCTTTAAAGCACGCGCAACGTTGCAAGTGCTTTAAAGACCAATTATACACGTGTATCTTATAGTATTTTTTATTATACCTGCAGTATAATTTAAAAATAGGAAATACAATGAAGTCATATTGACGTTATACTCGAATACATGTTTAATTAAGTGGGCTGGGTGTTCAAAATTTCACGATTGCCATGGAAATGTCACTTGACGTTTGCTTATAATCA